AAAGCAAAAAAAAAAAGGAAAGAAAAAAGAGTGAATGGGAAACGCCGAGAAAAGCCCCCGAGAAAGATAATATGCCTCTACCCCCTGGGAGGCCGGTAAAGAAAGAGAGCACCAGATGAAGTGGATGTGACCCGGGGAAATCAACAACAACACACGGGGATTATCAGCTCCCGCCCTGCGCACGCTAGGAGCGACTTCAATAACTCCCCCTCCTTGGATCCTTTTTTTGATTTATTTGATATTATGTCAATTATGGAGTACGTGGGTGTACTTGAACGTTGGCATTCATTTAAAGGTGCAAAATTGATGGGAAAAAGCTAGCAAGATTATGCCTTGATCAAAACAAAACACCAACATTCATAGGCTTGCATTGTCATTCTGAGAGAAATACCCCGATTTGCACCTCTACGACAGGGCAGCACCAAACGGTACTAGCTTTTGTGCACGATCCTGCGGGTGTTATTGCAAATGCAGAATGCAGCCGAGAAGAGGATTCGCCAAGTTGGCAGACATCCCTTGCGGCTCACATTTGCATTGGCGTCATAGCCCAGAACTTTTCAAACAACCGGAGAAGTCCGTTTCTGAGTGGCCGAGGGCCTAAAGAGCAGGGAAATGGAGAAGCCAAAAGGCCCCCAAAAAAGCCATGCGATCTAGAATTCCCCACATTTCTGGTTTTGGCTGGCTGAGATCGCGTCTTCGGCCCCCTAGCCTGACTAGGATCGTTAGTCGCAAGATCGTGAAAGGGCAGGCCGATCGGTGTCCACTGGTTTCCTATGAACTGCTGGGTGTTCTTTGATGGTGAACCATGGTCCAACGATATTAACAATGGATTGAAGGATGTCTGGGCTTCATCGGGACCTAACCGGGACCTATGGCCACTGTGAAATCAGTTAAGCTGTCACTCCGTACGGATTTGGGGGGTTCCCTGTGCAGATCCACTTTCAACTAACTTGCCTGACTCTTCTAGAATGAAATATCATCCGATAAAGAATTGACTGGTCGAAAAAGAAGCGTTGCGAGGCTCAATGTAAGGGCTCCAGCAGCAAGTAACCACCTTTAAAATGTTATATTGAAGAACGTGATTCATGAATTCGGTTCGAAGACACTAACTACAAAGTACGTACGATCTTAGCTTCAAGAGTTGACCGGTTCGATTTTGCGCAAATTAACCCGATATAGTACCCGGTGCTCTTGTTTCTTGTTGACATCGTCATATAACACTCCACTCTGTTCCGCTATTTTCCACTCTTTTCCACTTTGCAAATGAAAAAGGAACAACTCGTGGGTCCTGAACCACAGATTCCAACTCCGAATTCATGCTTCTTGCTTTTGCTGGCTGTTGACAGTTAGCCGTCGATAGCGTATCAAAGAGTGGGGGAAGAAGCACCTCGTGTTTCAAGCTCTTATTTTATTTTATTTTTATTTTTAATTTCTTTTTTCCCACCTAAAAAGTCAGTTTAGACCGATCCGTACACCAGACCCGAAGTTATAGGGATCGGCATATCCAATCATTCAGTTTGGAAGGTCAATATATGGAACTGCTATGGAGTACAATATACGCAGTACTCCGTCCATACTCCATCCGATCGTACAGAGGTTCCATGGATCGCCTGAGGTCTATGTGTCCCGTGTCAACTGCTCATACAACATAGGTAACTACACGTCTGAACCGATACTTTAATTTGTCTCTTCTCATCTGCCATCACCCGTTATATCGGTGCGGGCTGCAGTGACCTGCAGATCGGAACAAGATATTCCCTGCACTGTTTGATGACCTTGAAATGTTCTGGTCGCATGGTCTCTTAAATATCCCCAAAGAGGAATCACATAATAAACAAATATAGGATTCAACTTTTGCCCTAAAGCTGGCCTGTCGACCTTTTGAGTCCCGGCAGATTTTGCCCAGGTGTAAGCCTGTGCTGCGCAATTTCTGACTTTTGTGATAAGTGCGGAAATTACATATGTACATGTAACTTTTGGGACGTGTTCCAGCGTCTAGGCTTGTATAACTTCATTTGGCAGTTCGTAGTTAATTAACCAGTACCTTTGTGCTTTTCGGATTTCATTTTATGATTGCTGGCGGAATGCAACTCCCAACATGAAACTGCGTATGAAACACCTGCAGTCTGCAAAAACCATCTAATTTAGGTAATTTAGACAGAGTCCAGTTGTATACGGAGTACTAGTCAGGCCACATCTTTCACTTCACCGTCTGTCCGTGGGTGTCTATCGCTATTAGCTGCACGGAGTAACCGAAACATCTTTACGCCAGACGGTCAGATCTGAGTGTTATGCTTATCGTCGCAGAACCTCGTATTGCTTATCAACCCATGACCGGGCCCGGGGAGACGGCAGGAGCTGAGGTCGATCATTATGCGACGTCTATTCTGTACTTTGTCTGCTTAAGGATTTCCCAGACATTGGGGTTGTGTGACATTCGGGTGATCTGATGCTTGTTTCCCGCAAGTCTATCACAAACGCTAATGTGATTCAAAACTTGACCATCTGCGTCCAATCAACTAGTGGGCTGAGAACCTGCTGAAGCGAGGTTAATCCAGCCCAGCAACCTCTCTTTCGTAATGGCTCCGATTCAAATTTTTATTATTTGAATAGATCTCTCGGGGATCAATCAAGCATTGCATCCTTAATGTTCTTATCGTGTGCCATACGGAGGATATAGAAGTGGATTTAGGGATATTCATAGGTAGGTGAATGAATGGTCCTACATAATACCAATGGCTCACACTGTACCTTCTGGAAACAATCTTAATGCTGAAAGAACTAGACTTCGAAGACTGCGTCAAAAGAGTAGTATTTCAATGCTACGCCTGCTCGCTAATGTAGATGGATGCTTTGTCTTCAACTTCATATAAAGACTGGCCATACACAGCCAGTCAACTTCCTTCGATATCATTTTTACTTAACAATTGGTTGTAAACAGCTTAATAAGATTGTCAATGACTTTAAAGCAAAGCTATGGTCATATAGTTCCGTCTTGAAGTTACAGAAATCGCTTATATTCCGGTATAGTATGTAGCCGCAAATATGTGGGAAGGGACATCACCTAGCCACCTCTCGCTTGTTTCGCGTTCTCTACAGCGTAGGGATGAAATCTACCCTAGCTGACATTCAGTATCTGTCGCAGAATTCCTAACCTTGGAGCTTACCAGATTTTCAAGGTGCCTTGAAAATGATGAACATATGTGTCATGTGATCTTATCGATAACACACATCCAAAAATCCGCCACTATTCGCGATGGGGACATCAATTCGAGAACTCCACAAACTCTTGACATCGAAGCTTCCTGAACCTCGGCGCGACGCACGTCCGATTGAGCCTGGCAAGATGGAGTCTGAACTCCAATCCCAGATCCCTGGCCTCGACCACATCATCACTGAATACTCAGTGGTACGTATCTCCGCACATATGCGCGGTGGAGGATTGAGTCCATTGAAGCTGCTGACTATTTGACAGGGTTACCTAACCCATGCCGCAAACCTCTACGTCGACGATGCCTGTGCCGAGTCTCCCTTGACAGAGGCTGCCGAATCCGTGACCGAGCTCCTAGTCTCCGCTTCGGGAGATTTCTCCCCGCAAAACTACGAAGCGATCGGCAACTTGGTTACGAGGTTCATCACCACGCTGAGCTCCTCCGATGGCGATCCGGAGCGGAGGCAAATGCCCTTCAAGGCCAAGAAACTTGAACAGACCATCAATGTCGGCGCACAGCGGAACATGTCTTCTACACTGGGTCTGACTGGAAACACAGTCGACTTGGAATCCGCCAATGCCAGAAAGATGGAGTCCAAGGTAGACAAGAAGAAGCTCGAGAAGGCAGAGCGTAAGATTCGCGCCAAGCAGGACAAGAAGTCGATGAAGAACGTTACCTACGAGGCTTCCCGTCTGCTCAACCAGCCTGATGAGGCCATGTCCTACGAGGAGTTCTTTATGGCTGTCAACCCTCTTCAAATGGGCTCGGACTCCCAGGCAAAGAGTAAGGACATTAAGTTGGATAACATCGATATCTCGATTAGTGGGCTGCGCATTCTGACAGATGCTGCTTTCACACTCGCTTATGGTCGTCGTTACGGTCTTGTTGGTCAGAACGGTATCGGTAAATCTACACTTTTGCGTGCTCTGAGTCGCAGAGAAATCCCGATTCCGACTCACGTTTCTATCCTTCACGTTGAGCAAGAGGTATGTTCAAATCCCAGCTCAGTTGCTTTTTCTCTTACTGACTTTCTACCATAGATTACTGGTGACGATACACCAGCTTTGCAAGCAGTGTTGGATGCCGATGTGTGGCGGAAACATCTTCTTTCAGAGCAAGCGGTTAGTCAAGTCGCAAGATACCACAGCAGCATATTCACTAACGACCATAGAAAATCTCGAAACAACTGGCGGCCATCGAAGAAGAAAGATCCTCATTGGCGGATACTTCGAAGGATGCTGCTAGACTCGACGAGCAACGAGAGGGCCTGGATATCACACTGAGCGATATTTATGGAAAGCTTTCAGAAATGGAGTCTGATAAGGCCGAATCCCGTGCGGCCAGTATCTTGGCTGGTCTTGGTTTCTCCCAAGAACGCCAGCAGTACGCCACCAAGACCTTCTCCGGAGGTTGGAGAATGCGCTTGTCTCTTGCACGAGCTCTATTCTGCGAGCCAGATTTGCTTTTACTTGACGGTATGTACCATTGGTCTCTTTATTCCACACGCACCCTACTGACATTCCACAGAACCGTCTAACATGTTGGATGTTCCGTCAATTACTTTCCTTTCCAATTACCTTCAGGGATACCCTAGCACAGTCCTTGTGGTTTCTCACGATCGTGCATTCTTGAACGAAGTCGCCACGGATATTATCCACCAGCACTCTGAAAGGTTGGACTACTACAGAGGTGCTAACTTCGGTAAGTTACACGAGACCCCAAAACTATGAATGGTTCTAATAAATTGTAGAATCCTTTTATGCAACCAAGGAGGAGCGCCGAAAGACTGCTAAGCGCGAATACGAGAAGCAAATGGGTGAGAGAGCACACTTGCAAGGTTTGTCGCCCGCTCCATCTTGGCATAGGGGCTGTATTAACGATAATCATCAGCATTCATTGATAAGTTCCGATACAACGCCGCGAAGTCCTCCGAGGCACAGTCGAGAATCAAGAAGCTTGAGCGTATGCCTGTTCTTGAACCCCCAGAGGCGGAGTACACCGTGCACTTTGCATTCCCTGGAGTCGAGAAGCTTTCACCACCCATTGTCCAGATGTCCGATGTTTGCTTCGGCTACACCAAGGACAGGCCTCTTCTCAGGGATGTCGATCTGGATGTTCAACTTGATTCGCGTATTGGAATTGTCGGACCTAACGGTGCTGGTAAGACCACAGTTCTGAAACTACTCACCAACCAGCTTGAGCCAACAAGCGGTCTCATCTCCACAAACTCAAGACTGCGCATTGGGTTCTTTGCCCAACATCACGTCGATGCTTTGGACATGACTACCAGTGCAGTCGGCTTCATGACCAAGACATACCCTGGTAAAACTGACGAAGAGTACCGACGACACCTGGGAGCGTAAGTTTATCAAAACCACTAGCATCTACTGCATTGACTAATTCTCATCTTATAGGTTTGGTATCACTGGTACAACCGGTCTCCAACGCATGGGACTGCTGTCCGGAGGTCAGAAATCTCGTGTCGCATTTGCTTGCTTGTCCTTGACGAATCCTCATATCCTTGTTCTTGACGAACCTTCCAATCACTTGGATATCGAGGGTATGGATGCCCTGTCGGATGCACTCCGGGCGTTCGAGGGAGGTGTGGTGATGGTTTCCCACGATGTGACCATGTTGCAGAATGTCTGCACCAGTCTCTGGGTTTGTGACGGCGGTACTGTTCACAAGTTCGACGGCACCGTCAACGCCTACAAGAAGAAGATCACCGCACAGGCTGATGCTGCGGGTGTTGTAGCTAAACACTAAGTTAGGAGGGCTATACATGTACAGATTAATGCCGTAGAAACCATGAATATCCTGCCTGAATCTACATTATGACCATCATTGTTATTTCTTGAGTATTCCGCAGCCAAGTCTTTGCTCTGCCTGATAGGTTAGGCCTTCATTCAACTCCAGTGCATAAACTAGACATAGCAATTTCCACTAAGGGCATAATCTCCCAGTCCTATCTCTTTCTTCATTCTCGCCCTTCATCATTGTTTACAAAGTACTGAACCACATCGGCGTGCGGAATCCGAGTTCCGCTCCACGCTTTGAGCGGGTCTCCTTATCGGCTTATCGCGGTCAACCCCGGACATCACTTTACCATCTCAGATGCCCATGGGATAAATCTCAGATGATACCTCAGGGATAGAGCTGGAAGAGTCCAAAGATATGGCAGGCGCAGATGAGCAAGACCAATCAGGTCCCCACGCCCCTTTGCTCGCCTCATCCCATGCCTCTTCAGACCATGATGACAATGAGCACGACGAGAGCCTGGCCTCTGAGCTGGAATACTCAGGAGGCTGGTTCATATGGGCGTTGACCTTCTCTGCTGGGATAAGCGGTCTACTATTTGGATATGAGTATGCTAGCTCCTGCTAAACACGCCATATTGCTCCATTGATCCTCCCGTCCACTAACAATCGTTGGGACTTGCAGCACAGGTGTCATTTCGTCTACTTTGGTGACCATTGGGTCAGATCTTTCGGGTCGTCCATTGACAACCCTCGATAAAAGCCTCATAACCTCCTGTACTAGCCTATTTGCGTTGACTGCGAGCCCGTTCACCGGGGTGTTGGCGGACAAGTTTGGCCGTCGGAAGGTCATACTTGGTGCAGATCTGTTGTTTGCACTTGGAGCTTTGGTACAGGCCTTTACAAGCCAGGTCTGGGGTATGATTCTTGGGCGCAGCATTGTTGGTCTCGCTGTTGGTAGCGCGAGTGCGGTGACTCCATTGTAGGTTGGCCGTGTCGTGATGTCGCGTCTGGCGGAGAATGAGAACCATGAGCCATGACAAAAATATGACTGTGAGAGGACTGATGATTGCTAACACGCTGGGTAATTTCTCCAGGTATATTTCCGAGTTGGCTCCTTCGCATGCAAGAGGAAGACTTGTCACGATACTCAGTCTGTTCATCACCGGTGGCCAGGTGGTGGCATACATAGTCGGGTGGCTATTTTCTAGTACAACTGGAGGCTGGAGGTGGATTGTGGGGATTGGAGCATTGCCGGCTTTCTTCCAGCTTGCCATCCTTGCTCTGCTACCTGAGACGCCTCGATGGCTGGTCCAGGCTGGATTCGATGCCCAGGCGAAGACAGTCCTGATTAAGATCTATCAGGATTGCCCTGGACATGACCAGGTGGTGGATCGTGTTTTGCGCAATATAAGTGGAGAAATTGCTCAAGAGGCATCGGAAATAGGACTAACCAAGTCTCGTGGCACAAAGCCGCAATGGTTACATGATACCATCCAACGGGGCCAGCAGCTGTTGCATGGTGGAAACAGAAGAGCATTGATCATAGCAATGATGCTCCAGGCGATTCAGCAGCTCTGCGGATTCAACAGCCTGATGTATTTTTCGGCAACCATTTTCTCTTCCCTTTCGTTCTCCTCGCCGACACTGACATCACTCTCGGTGGCTATGACTAATTTTGTCTTCACGCTGCTTGCATTTGTGCTGATTGACAAGATCGGTCGCCGGCGCATTCTCCTGTATTCAATCCCTGTCATGGTCTTCGCTCTGGTCATCTGTGCTTTCTCGTTTTCATCAATGGACAACAAATGGAATTCACAACCTCCAACTGGCCGTCAAGAAGATCACAATAGCGCTAGTTCTCTTGTGCCCCTTGCAATCCTGTTCTGTCTTACTGTCTATACTGCGGCCTATGCCCTCGGACTCGGCAATGTGCCCTGGCAGCAGTCTGAACTGTTCCCTCTGAATGTACGTTCCCTGGGGTCAGGACTGGCCACCGCAACTAACTGGGGGTCAAACTTCATCATCGGTCTTACTTTCCTACCTATGATGGAATGGATCTCACCCTCATGGACTTTTGCTCTCTATGCACTTGTCTGTGCGGTTGGGTGGGTTGCTGTATGGGCAATTTACCCTGAGATGAGTGGACTTGGCCTCGAGGAAGTTAAGGGTCTGTTGGCAGATGGTTGGGGAGTGACTGAAAGCCTACAGCGACGTCATCTCTCACGACATATATAGCATGTGAAGAGAATGTAGATGTATCAATATCGAGCGCACGTGCTCCATTTGGTCTCGTCAAGAGGTATACTTCGAATATAACAGTTCTTCTTCTCTTTTTGTTTCTCTTTGTTCTACTGTCACATGTGAGGTGAATCTCAAAGTAGTTTCTCGTAATCTCAAGCAAACGAACATTAGCCCTATTAATTGAAACCGATAATGATATCACACATTGAGTAATCAATCACTTCAAGGACATGTGAATCCATATCGAACATCTACCGCCTCTTACTCGCTCTTTGCACTTGCATTTGCTGTCTCACATCTCCCGTTGCACATGAAGTGAGTCTTCGCTCTTTAGAACGCTCTTCAGGCTATGCAATTGCATACTGAATACTATATCCCAAAAAATCATGTCGCACAACAACCTCGTACAGTTCGCATCAACCACCATGCGAAGTGCCCGAAGCCGGCTGCTCGAGCTTCCGACCGAGGCAAGTACATGTCTGTAGGTCTACAATGTAGATTGCAGCCATTGATATTTGAGATCAACAGATTCTCCAGGATATTGTATGCTGTCTCCCTAACGATCGTGATGTTCTCCATCTCTCCCAGTCTTGCAAAGAGATGTGGGAAAAGGTCTTCGATTCGGAGTCTGCCATCTGGCGAGATCGCTTTGGTAAACACTATGACATTGCTCCGGGAAGACGCTCTAGGGAGTTGAAGATTGAATACCAGATCCGCGCCATTGTACTGAGCTCTCTGATCCAATTCAAAGAAGAGGAAGATGCTCGTCAATACCTCTGGATGCAGGTCATGCAGACTATGCTCGAGGAGGCTCTGAAGCTACCCATTGCCCGTGGAGCGACCTCAAAGACCCTGCAACGGATACAGGAGACCCTCAAAGGGGTAGATTTCCTGAGTGAGTTTCGAAAAGGGCGAAGTTCCTCGCAACTATTTTATGCTCTCCAGCTTGTACGCATTTTTTCGTCGAATAATGGACCGGGCATTCACTGATCTTTGCTATACACAGTGCCTCAGTTCATTTGCCCTCGATCCAACCATCACCGAACCCTGTCGTCGAACCGACTACGACATCAAACAAGTTTACTCATATGTAGACGAGGTGGGCAAGGCATTCATTGACCACGATAACCTTGATCTCGCCAAACTGCTGAACGTGCGCAATTTCTGGCAACGTCATTTTCTGAACGCTTCCGAACTTACCTTCCAAGAATCCTTCTCTGGGCTGCCTGCGGAGATGAAGCCTAAGGCGCGAAAGGATATTCCAACCGAGATATTCATGCTAAGCCCATCGTGGCTAGGATACTACTGTGAGTCCACCGATAGAAAGAAAATCCAATAATACGACCCCAGGCTGACATTAGTCTTCGATCAGCCTGCATACATCCGCTGTCAGACCTGCAAGGGAGCAACCAGCGCCAGACATGCGCTGATCTTGAGACACACGGGGACGGAATCGAGATAATGGTGAGTGGAAGGCGAGTTTGTAAGGTTATGACCACCATGCTAACAAATGTCAAGACCCTTGACCTCAAACCCTCCTCCGAACAGTTCTGGCCGGCGCAATGCAGCAAGATGATCCCTCTCGCTGGCGGGCTCGATACTAAGCGACTATATTTCGATGGCAAGCAGAGAGCTTATGATGGCGCCTATGAGGCAGGAAACACAGTGTTCGGGTTTACCGAAGATATTTCTCTCCCCCATGGGGGCTTTGAGGGATGGACGCGGATCTGTTTTACCATCGTCGAAGCGGATGAGGAGGAAGAGGAGAAGCCTTTCTCCGTCGTGATGGATGGCGAGGGCTGGATTCATGGGTATGAGGCCGTCATAGTCCCCGGTGGGCGCATGATGCTGGGACGGTGGTTGGATATGAAGGAGCCAGATGCCAGAGGCCCATTCATCTTTTGGGACGTGTGAGGGCCACGTCCGATGTCTTCTACGCTTTTCGTTTGCCTTTCTTTTGTGTCTTTCTTTCTCTTTCTGGGAGCTGGGCGGTGGACGAGATAGGAAGTGAAACAGACCAAGCTCAAGCTCCGCCTAAAGCGCTGGAAATTGACGTAGGATCCTCAGCTCAGTGGAATCAGTATTTATGGTAACAAGCAATGTAGCTTTTGGATAGAAAAAATTATGCGTTGAGCAAGGGAATAAATGACAGATCAGAATCGAAACAACCACTACTCCTCAATATCCTTGACCTTCTCCCATTCCCCCTTGAGGTTCTCCTTCCACAAACTGACCTTGTTATCACCTCCGCTGACGGCAAGGATGTTGCCGCTGAGACTCCAGCTAACACGCCACAAAACAGTGTCGAACTCCAGTGTTTGGCTGGACCACTGGCCCGGGTTGGAAGCATCAGAGGTCCAAATGCGAACGGTCTTGTCTTGCGCGGCGGAGGCGATGTAGGACTTGGAGAGGATGCTCGGGGACCAGGCCACATCGCGGACCCAGTCGGAGTGTCCCTCGAGGGTTTGAGTGAGGTTGTAGGATTTGGACTCCGCGCTAAAGGGGATCGAGTCAGTTCACGTCGTAGTCATATGTTTGGCATGTTTTATCGATGGACATACTTATACTCCCAAATCTTGACCAGGTTGTCGCTGCCACCGGTAACAAACCGGCGCTGTTGGCCAGGGCCGGGGTTGGAGCTGATGAGGCTACCAGCAAAGGCCGCGGGAGCCCAGCTGATAGAGTTGACGCCCATTCCGTGGGCATGGAAGGTCTGGTGGGTCCAGTTGTTGTCACGGAACTCGAGCACGCTGACATGGCCGTCGGAAGAAGCGCAGGCAAGAAGACATCCGCTCTCATGAGGAGCCCAGGAGACCATGTTCACGGAGGCCGTGTGAAGGGAGAAATCGAAGACCTTGGTCCATGTGCTACCACCGGAGGGCGAGGTCGCATTCTGGGGCTGTTCCCGCCAGATCAGAACTTTGCCATCGTAGGAAGATGAAGCTAGAATTGTCCCAAATTTCGGGTGGGCCTAGGTCGAGAGAATAGCATGGTCAGTTCGCTTGCGCGCTACAATGGCTGATGTTCTGAGGTATCCTCACCCATGCGACGCACCACACAGCGCCCTCGTGGCTATCAAATGACTATGTCAGTGACCAAATATTCAGCTGCAACAAAAAGGAGACCAGCTTACCCCTTAAGCGTCTCGACTAGTCGGTGTGATTCTCCCTCAATTTCAAAGATCTTTATCGTTTTGTCGGATGAACATGTGGCCAACCGGCGGCCGTAATAGTCCAAGCCAGCATCGTGCTATATCCCTCAGGGGTCAGTTAGCTCGCATACATTGGGTCACCGCTAGACCGCCGTTGCAATTCACATCTTAGCACATACAATCATCTCTTCGTGCCCGGAATTCGAGATCACCTGAGGGGTCGCCTGGAGGTTTGAAGCTGTTAGCGATGGGATTGTAAAACGAGCTTAAATCCATAGAGCTGAATAGCAATTACCATGTTGGATTAAATAATGCAAACAATAAAATTGACAGCTGTGGAAGCGCGGGGAGTCGGAGAAGCTCTCTCCCTTTCAGCCAAACAACCTGGCCCTTCCCGTATCTTATCGTGTGCTTGGCTCGGTCACGTTACCTATATCTATGCACGTGATGAGCCTCGGCCGTCGGCAACCCCACGGCAGGCGTGGCGTGGGAGTCTCTTCTGAAGTTCTACATCTTTCATTTCTATTATTGCTGTAATTTGCACTGGCAACTGATTACTGGCAGAGCAAAATCGCACTACTACACTTCTCCCTCGGTTTTGGTCAATCTAAGCAGGTCATCATGGGTGATGCGCTGTGCGGGCCGTCGAACGCCCTTCAGAACTTCCAGAAGCATACATCTGTTGATCGGACCCTTCAGCAAGACCGGTTGACTTCGCGTCAATCGCCTGTCCAGGTTGGTAGCACTCCTGAAACCACATTGTTTCATCCATACTAAATATATACTGCAGGGTTTCCGGTCTCAGAACCCCCAAGAAGGAATACTCGACTCGGAGTTCGCCGCATTCGAAGGCAATCTCGCCAGCCCTGCGTTGCCCAACTTGCAACATCCCACCCATTTTGGAGCACCATCACAACATGCCGCGGTACAACACCCAGCCGCACACGGTGCAGGCAACGCCAGTTGGGCATCGGACTTCCAGAACTTGCAAATCTCGGGGCCCTCACATCCTGTAGCGCAACTACAACGACCAAATATTGCACCAGCAACGACACATGGCGGGTGGCACACTGAATTCATGGTTCAACAACGAGGGCCTATGTCCCAGGCCCAGCAAAACCCGCAAATACATGGTGCTTATCAGCCATCTTTTGCGCCAAGCTACCAGATGTATGGCTCCTCCATGAATCAGATGCAGCCCTTGCAGGGTATGCAGACTGAGCAACAAAAACACATACAGCAGTTTGACGAATCCGCTTTTGAGGCTGCCTTTGATCAGGCCCGGGCAGATATGGAATTGCAAGGAGTCGATGTTGCTCAGCAAGATACCCAGAAGCACTTGGAGGAGACCAACGAAATTGACATTCCCGAGACGCCCACCCAAGAGCAGATTCGTCTCGGGTCGGATCTTATTCCCCAAAGTGATAAGCAGAACCCAGAGACACGGAGTCGAGATGCAGATGAGCTCGCGCGGACAGCAGGGCAACTGCTCGACAGCGTGCGCAACGAACAGAGTCAAAAGTTCCAACAAAGCAATTTCCTGGCTTTGATGCGCCGGATCCGAGATCGCGAGGTGGAAGTTGAAGGAGATGATTTCCGCGAAGTCAGTACCAACCCGTAACGGTTTGGATGTCGGACGCGACAGAAACACCGGTATAACTCGGGCAATCTACAAGGGCTGTTGTCCTCGCTAATAACTATTTGCAGACGGCGCAATCTCTTCACCCAGGTGGGCCATACTACCCGGGCCAACCCCGCCCAGACCACCCTGGTTCCGATATCCCGTCTAGCAGTAAGGAGCCAAACAACCCTATCGGTAGAGTCTGATGCCCTGCGCCCATGAAAGACCAGCCGATAACCTGACCAGACGTGCCCATTTCCCAGATGGTGTAGGCATCAGCAGAGATTTCCGACCGACCGAAGAAGGAACATCCGATCATCTGGGATCCAGTTCGTTTGGTTGTGGTGACACAAACGCACTCTATGAAGGATTGCTGCACGGCCAGGGACTTGTGGACCGCCACAGCGTTTCGATTTGCCTTTTTGGAAGAGAATTGGAGGCGCATTTTCTACACTAGCGAAACTGTGGTACTGAATGTAGAAGTACCTTCTCAATTACGGCTACACCTACTATGACGTAGGTACCCGGTACATAGTTTTTCTTTTCTATTGATACCCCATGAACAATAGCAATCACGTGATCTCTATTGAGAACAATAAAAGTCCATTCAAGGGCCCCAATTAGGCAAGTCAATGGGCCATGACGGCCTCTGATTGGCTGTCTATTGATTGTCTATTGATTGTTTCTTTCCTATTGTTTGTGCCCATTCAAACGAAATGAAACAATCTCTTGACATTAAATACCCTGACAACCCGCTGCACTTTTTTCTTCACTCTGGCCATATCAATACAAACGCTACTAAAGAAAATAACATAACCTCATTCACAATGATGCCTCCATCAGACTCTTTGCGACACCACCTACATAAGCTCGCTGAAGTCCGGGCGGATCGCAATACTTCTTCTATATCTACACCTACCTCTACTTCGACTCCAGGCACAGCTCCACCCCCATACACATTGTCTGTTACCAGACCCAGCGGTACAACTGTCATGAGCATCGATCAGAACGACATGGACGACCCATGGGATTCCCCAATCAATATTTACATTGACAACTCAATCACCGTAACTGGTGATGAAAACACCATCACGGTGTCGTCTCCTGGAGTGGATTCTCCCACTGATCCAACTCATATGGAGGCCCAGGCATCCCCTCGCCTGAGCTCCATCGCGGCTGTCATCATCGCTGCGCTGAACCGCGCAAATGTCCTCCATGATGATATGGGTTACCCCCGGCCCGTCAACGTTCGTGCTCTCGCGGGCATTCGGGTGAATGGCCGAAATAACAACATTTGTGTCGGGTGTGAAATCAACAAGTCTCGGGATGAGACTGCCGACACCAGAGCTGAAGAAAGTAACGGCCGCAAGCGGCGTGCCAGCTCGGTTCGTACTCCAATTCGTAAAAGGATCTTCAAGAAGTTTACGCACTGACTAGCTTTATTAATGTAGGAGCCTGTGGGAGCTCCGTCGGCTCAGCGTTCTCGTTCAGCTTGAAGAGAGCTTATGAGTTGTTTCATGACAAGCTGAATATCTCTCTCTTTTTGCTTTCAATCATCTCAGAATGTGATCGCTTTTTACTTTCAATTCTCTTAGGTTTTGGTCACTTTTCCCTTTCGGTTTGCTTAGGGCAGTTTTGCAATCATTGGTTTGCTTGTTATGGGTTGATACCCTGGTCCTTTTTATGAATCCTCTGTACGTTAGATGGTTGTTCTGTGTCTTTCCATTTATTATGGTTAATGCTTCTTACTTTACGATGATGAAAGCCATGAATGTACCTAGGTAGCTTTGACCCAGATAGATTTGGCACTCTGGGCCAGTGCTAGTGTTCGTGGACTGAATCAAGCCAAATATATAACTAGTAATTTCTTAAGTTCTGGTTTTCTAGCTTCTTTGACTTTTAAGCCATCTTATAGGTCGACCATGCATTTCCATGTTCCTCACTTTCTCTAATACTCTGCTTTAAGGAACCCTACAGGTCTGTGGGATTAGCGTAGTGTAGTGTTTGATTCGAATTTCTACTAGCCGAGAGTAGTTCAGATATAATGGTGTGCATTCACCTTATAGGATACGTTAGTATCAAGTACTGCTAATATACGCCTTATAGCTCTATATTTCTTAAGGAGTAGGAGTGCTTTTAGTGGTCTTTCTAGTGCTGTCTCTCATTATTTCTAATGGTATCTCTTGGATGCGGCTTAAAGAGTGCCCTACTCCTCCCCTATTTAACTAGGCAGGTGTTATATAGGCACCTTCCTTATCTGACACTTTCTCTCTTCTCTCTTCTCCTCTAAGCTCTTATTTCTTTTAACGCCCAATACCTCATGCTCAGATCATACTCGCCCCGAATAGCCAGTATCAAGGATCTTTATAATACGTGCCACCGGTCTAGGTTTACCACCGAAGTCTTAAACACAGCTGCCAATGTCCTCTCTGCATCGACGGAATGGTCCTGCTATCCTCTTCCGGTATGTTAAGCCTGCTTTTATTTCTCTTGGACTGGGTGTTGTGCTAATAAGGGATATATGTGGGAGAGGATGGAGAGAAGCACGTGAAGGCAATCCCCAGGCCATGCCCACGAGCGCAGAAAGAAAAGAAGGCTGTACAAAAGTTGAACAGGAAAGAGCAGAGAAAAGAGCTCTGGTACAAGTGCACGTTTTGTGGCCGTCGTGAGTCATGCCAAAAGCACTCTTAGGAAGGGTGATATATTAACCGAGAGTGTCTAGATAACTACGAGCCCAATCTCCAAGACGAGCCTCCCCTCCCGGTATATGACGAGTGCACAGACCCTCCCAGGCTTCCTCCTTGGCAGGAGGCCGACAGCCAGTTCCGAACCTGGACCTATGCACGAGAATGTGTCCTTCAAACTGCTCCGAATATTACCGACTATGCTCGAGTTACCGGAAGACCAGTTTGTGGATGGTAACTGCTGCGAAGACGAAGGAAATGCGATAGCTCTATCCGCGATATGCTATACCACTCTCGGTCCCGAGAAGAAACCAAAATGTTTGACGATGTTTACTTCCGCGGGCACACGGACAAGGGGACTATGACGTTCCTATTCCAGCAACCAATAGCAACACTACAAGTGCAACAGGCTAAAGATGAAAACTGGGAATAGTAAGGATTCCCGCTGGCTCTGTCAACATCAACATAGCCGATACTCTATGGTTCTTCACAAACAGGTATCTGAAAAGTGGCTGTCATCGGGTTATAGCGCCACCGAAGGACCAGTTGCACCTCAACCGACTAGGCTTGTTATATTTCGTGTGGCCGACTGACAAGTTGCCATGGAAGTCTTTGAATGGTCTTTTCTTGCAGGAGGAAGGTTATGGCAAAATCACAACCGAGAATGACCAGGACCTTTCTGGGCTAGATTGGGGGAGAGCTGGGGTTAACCTTGGAAGGCTCGTAAGAGAGAAAATTATGTCAGTTCTGCAGCCAGCACGACCTAGTTACTGGTTACTGAACGGATAAAATATCTTGGATGAACTATCCAGCTACATCAAGAACTTATATAAGACATACTGGTACGGAGTTGTGCCCTAAATTTCAATCGCATGCTCGGCGTCTGATATTCCGACTTTAAACCCGAGCAGATAGGTATCTAGCAAAACGAAATCAAAGTGTAAATCCGCGTGACAACTTCTTTAATCACTACATATGTACTCTCTACCTATTACAAACTTCACAACTAACTTCCTAATCCTGTTTTATCATTATCAGGAATGAATTCCTCAATTCAGGGCAGCCAACGCTGCATATCAGATAGAGGGTTTAAACGGAACGTATATCTACTTCTTGGAGTCAGTCTCTGTATACTCCGTATCGATTGAATGTATTCATCTTGGTTCTAAAATGGTTTCTTACCTGATCGACAGGACTTCCATGGCATTTCACTTATACAACATAGATCGCTTACGTTGCGATCGATACCATTTGCTAGTCTTAAACTCCGCGTATCCTAGTGTTTCAAGTAGACGAACTGACGTCCTGATCTGCATACTTTTAATTCAAGCAAGTGTCAAGTATGCCATACTCGGCACGGAATACAGACTAGGAAAATTTCCGGAAAATGTGGTTTCTTATTCCCAAGTATTGCGTTGGCGCTCCGTAGTGCGCTTTTGCAGGTCCCTACAGCAGTGATTTGCATAATTAAGAGACCATATATATCTGACAAAATTGTCAGTCAGCCAGCCTAATCTGAGATAAAGGATTGTATCTTACCCAGTTGACAGTTTTCAATACCCATATATATACAATTTAGAGTTGATCTTAAAGGGTGTTCCAAGGTTAAGACCCTAGCCCACGTGGCCCAACATGGGGTACCGTCGCTCTGCAGATGAACAGAAGCCCCAGACCTGTACCTGGCAATCCGTGCTAGTCATAGACCTCGGGATATGGTTATCTCCCTCTCAAGTTATGTCTCTTTTGGTAGTCCTCGTCCATAGCCGATATAACCGTGTTAATCTCTCTCTTTCCTCCTTTGCTCCGCTAGTATTTTATCCGCTACAGGAAGAAGCGAAGACAATTGGCCTTGTCTTAGGTTAGGGTAGACCGGCCTTAGCAGATATACATCGTTTTTTACCCCTGCAGATCACTCCTATAGTGACCACTACTCCGTGCGGAATACGGAGTAATTCGTAGAGGAAGGAGCTACACAAATCTCCGAAATTTGCCCAGTCTATGTGGGGCATTAAATATATGCAGATGAGGAGCCCTGGAGGTGTTCGGCCTTTAAAAAGAAGACCAGAATAGGCTAAATTCAAGACAAAGCATCCTGCTCTGTTGAATTATGACTTCACGTGTGGTTACTGGACGTGGCGGGATTCACTAAATTACTAGCCTTGGAGGGTGCATTGACAGCCCCACTCAAAAGTAATTGAACGATCAGTTTCACATAAACATTTCCATCCACACATGTGAGACAACTTCGACAATGTCTCGGCAAGACCAAGGCATAAGAAGTGCCAATGGTCCTACTGAATTTGAATGAATTTCCCCATCTAGGCGAACCATTTTTGCCAGACATCCTCATAGTCATTGCCGCAACTGCAGGCTTCTGAATCCAACATGAAATTTAGCGTCGGTCTATTATTCGCGGCTGTGGCAGTTGCAAGCAGCCCAGCCAAGAAGGCCAATGCTGTTTCAGTTACTGGCTCGCCTCCAGGGTTTGCATACGGAGTTACGGGAGGTGGAGACGCGACGCCAGTTTATCCCACCGATGTCAAACATCTAATCCAACTTCTGGGATCTGATGATCCTCAGGTCATCATCATCGACAAGACATACGATTTCATCGGAACGGAAGGGACAACCAAGGGAAACATCTGCAAGGCATTTGGCTCCTTTGAGGATGGCTGCCAGTCTACCATTGATATCGGAAAGGGATGCGACGGTCACCCGTCCGAGCCGTATGAGTGGGATACTGCTGGAGTCACAGGAATCAGTGTTCACTCGGATAAGACGATCATTGGAATCGGAAACAAGGGCGTACTCCTCGGCAAAGGGCTGAGAATAGTCCGCGCCTCCAACATCATTGTACAGAACATCATGATCACCAACCTCAATCCACAGCTTGTCTGGGGTGGCGATGCTATCACACTCTCTGGCACTTCAAAGGTCTGGATTGACCATGTTACGGTTAGTCAAGCACTCCATCGCAACCCCTTTACTGAATTCTAACTGGTCTGTAACCAGACTCAATACACTGGCCGTGTACACTATGTCTTTGGTCAAGAAGCAAACGCTCTTGTCACTATCTCCAACAGCTTCATGAATGGCGCAACTAACTTCTCTACTTCGTGCGACGGGCAAAATTACTGGGGATTGGAGCTTGTCGGAGCCGACGACCAGATTACGTTTGCAAGTAAGTGTTTCCAATAATACTTCCTTGATATCAATATATGCGCAACTAGAAGATACTAATCATCGTCCGCTAGACAACTACGTGTACCGCACATCCGGCCGCAGCCCTGCACTGAGCGGTAAGACGCTTTTCCATGCCGTCAATAGCGTGTGGGAGGGCAACACCGGCCACGCTATTGAGGGCACCGACGACGGCCAAGGCCTCTTCGAAGGCTGCGTCTTCAATAACGTAACCCAAATTGTCGGAGATTTTGTTGGTCAACTCTTTAGCTCGCCGAGTGCTACTGCCAACAAAGCATGCTCCGGCTACCTTAAGAGGGATTGCGTGACCAACATTCAAACAAACAATGGGGCTGAGTTTACGAACGCCGATACTAAGTTCTTCTCTAACTTCGTCGGCCTCAACATTGCAAGTGCAAGCGCAGCTTCGGCAGCCCAGGCAAGCGTCCCAACCAATGCTGGAAACACACTTTAAAATGCCTAATCCTAAGGAAGGGCGGCAAGTTCTTAGAGGAGAGGGACATAGGAGAGATTAATATGATTTTTGTACCTATCTAGTGGAGTTGGGAAGAGAAAGGAAGAAAGGAGGGACTACTAGTTTACTCTGCAGTTCTGGGAACAGATGTTCGTCCTTCTGGCCCCCTGCAGTTCTGATTGTACTATCAAGTTATAGAATCCGGCGGACGGATATCAGCATACTCAGACTTTACAAGGGCATGACCATATCGTCAGCGCTGTCCGTTTTATACCAAATGGGAGCTTGCTTGCTAGCGCAAGCAAAGAATATAAGGTTCTGGGATATAACTAATGGGTATTGCGTGAGGACTATATAAGGCCACACTGGCTGCGAGATGTTTTTCCGTCTCCTGATGGAAAGTTCCTCCTCTCTACTAGAGACGATACAACTGTTCGTTTATGAGATATTTCGGCGAAACCGGAAAGCAAGTTAACCTTGACTGGTCATGAACACGATCGCTCCGCGGACCTCGAAATGAACTGAGGGTTTTACCCCATTGCTCACGTAAAATTCGTAAACACTTAAAACCAGCCCAACCCCTATAGAATTAAGTCATCCTCGTTTATTTGAAATAAAATGTCTCCGGCTACGCATCGTCTAATGTATGTACCGTACCGTGCGGAGTATCACTATGAAGATCAGATTAGATTGAGCGGTAATCTCCGAGACTAGCCTCTTTAGGTATTTAAAGTCGGGGGATGCTTAGCTGGGTATACTTAGCTACCTATATATAGCCACACACGATAGCTAGACATCGAAGAAGCTCATCATCTCTAAGCTAAGCGCCTATTTGATTTGACCATCCGGCGCTCTTATAATATTTACGGGAGCAGAAGTGGTAAGAACATTAAAAGCTAGGCTTTCAAACTGTGGTCTTACTAGGGCCAAATCCGGACCTAGATAGCCCGAACTATTCCGTGTTTTATTAGATAGAGCCTTAGCTCTAAATGGCCTAATTCCTAGATAATACTATCTAACTACTATATATATCGGAGGATAGCGCCCTAGTTATCCTCTAACTATACTATATATAGATCCTTATTAATAGGAATAGCCTTTATTAGCCTAAAGAGGTCTTTTAGACTAAGCTAGATTATATAGGTAAGATATAGAATTTATATAATATATATACTTCTTAGGAAGTCTAAGTTCTTAATAGATTAGTAGAATTCTTTAATTATTATCTTATTATTCGATATATTATCTATTATCGAACGAGGGACACTAATATGAACTAATACTAAAAACTTACTATACCGAGTAAGTGGTAAAAATAAGTATATATTCTAAAGAGTAGTAAGTGATCGACTATTTATCCTAGTCTAGGCTTATAAAGTAGTGCCGATCCTCTAAGTACTCTAGTAAGTGATACCTTAGGTGGCTACTAGATCTAGAAAGTAAATATAAAAATAACGGAGTGGGGTAAGGGTAATTCCGGCTAATATACCCCCCTAGGAGCCACCCTATAGGTTCTCTAGAAAAAGTAAAACTCTTTATATAACTTACTTACCCACTAAGTGCCGGATATCGACTAGCCTAAGGGACTCTATAAAGGCTTTATAAGCTTAAGATAGAAGTAGTTTTATAAGCCTATCTACCTATATATTAGTAGTGGCTACCTAATAAATTAAAAGTAAGCTAGTATTAACTTCCTAGCGTAACTAATAGTGATAAATATTAATATAGCGAAGCTTTATACGTATCTAGGGCTATTTATAAGTAAATAAATTAACTTTCTACTTATTATTATAGTTAATAGATAGACCCGCTTTATAATCTAGTCTAACTATATAAAGAAGCCTCTTTTATTATATAGCTAACTTACTAGCTTTTAAAATAGTAAGTAGCTTTACTTCTATTATCGATATTATAATAGTTCTTTACTTACTAGCTTTCTAGTTAATAGTAGCGCTAAAAAGCTTATAAAGGAAGCCTTCTAAGCTTTTTTAATCGATATAATTATTAAAGGAAGTATCGCTTAAGAAGTAAAGTATAGGTATAAAGTATATAGGATAGTATTTAAGAGTAAAGAATTAGGTATTATATAGATATTAGATTAAATAATTTATTACTTCTTAATATTTAGATCCTAGATTTATTAAGAACTTAATAAGGTAGTTAGCTACTTTCGCTATATCTAGATAAGTAATAATATAGGGTAAAGAGTAGAGCTAAGCTTTTACTAATACTTATAGATTTACTCTCTAGTTATAATTCTAGTAAACTTATTTATCTAGTTTATAAGGAGTAAAGTTTTATATTTATAATTATAAATAAGTCTATATTTAGCGGCTATAGAAGAGATATATAAATCCTAATAGAGCTAGAGCTTATACTTCTAGATATCTTAAAGAATATAGATTTTAAAAAACTAAGTAGCTTCTCCTATCTTTTAAAGCTTCTAATACTTCTCTAGTTACTAGCGTATCTAAAGAGCTTTCTAGAGCTTTAGCTAGTAGTATATAATAATAATATTATTAATATAGAAGAAGATAATAATACTATCTTTAATAAAGAGATATAGATCCTTTAGGATTAATTTAAATCTAAGCTCTTTAAAGATATAAATAGCTTTTTATTACTATAAGTAAAAAGACTTTCTAAAGCTATAAAATACTTTAAAGAGTCTCTATACTTTATTTCTTTTATAGAAACCTTCTAGTATCTAAATATATATAATCTTATTAAGATTACTATTTAGAAATATATTTATAGTATTAAATTATATAATATTAAGATTAAATATTATAATAAATATAAGGATTATATAAGTAATATAAATAATAAATATTATTATATACTTCTCCTCTAAGTTAATAGTTTATAAATTACTATAAATATAGATTCTTATTTTTAACTTTATAAAAAAGCTATTACTATTAAATTTATATATAAAGACCTAGATTAAGGGAAGTATCTAGATATTTTTATCTTAAAGATAAAGATTAACTTTATATATATTATAAAGTTTAATCGATTTAATCTTAAGTCCTACTATAGTAAGGAAGTCTTTAATAAATAGATAGTTTACTATTTTTTTCTAGTTCTATAACTTAAAAGATAGATTATTATAGTAATAGTAAACTACTAGATAAATAGTAGAAAGGCTAGTTATAAAGATAGTAAATATACCCTCTATATTATTAAAGTAGTTATATACTATATAGCTTACTATATAAAGATCTTCTTTTTATTTCCGCTTTCTCTTATCTTTAATAATATTAGAAAGAGTAATCTCTTCTTTAATACTAGTTTTTAAAAGTATCTTTTATTAGATTTATAAGACTAGTAATACTTATAGAAAGCTACTAGAGACTTAGCGAAGAGATAAATTATATCTCTAGTATAATACTTATTAGATTAATATTTAGCTTAATACTAGTAGGCCTAAAGTAATATTGAGAAATGTTTTCAAACAATCCTAAGGACCGAGCCTAGCCATATCGACAGCATTAGGTCAGCAAAGACGAAGGATTCGAGACCAGGTATCAACTAATATCCATCCACCTTTTACTACAAGCTAACCGTGCGTCACAGGCTGCGCGATGCCATTACTCCGCCCTTCACGTCGTCAAGAAACACGATCTTCGTCGCAGATTCGGGACTATATATATCGTGTCTATGTAGCCAGGAAGCTGAGATACCGATAAGCGGAACATCCATACTACCGGCAGTTCGTCGGTATCTGTGCTACTTCGCGATCACGAAGCAGTAAACACAACTACCTCAATAAATTAGTGTTGTTGGATGTACCTACGAATAGAGAACATGGCAGCCAGGCAATCAAGCTACTTAATTATTGTACGTACGAATTCACATATTATCGAAATATAAATAAGCACCATTCCTTAGAATTATGACAATAGCGAGGGAGTACTAAGGTTATAGTTTGACAAAAGTTAGTTCCCTAGAGATCGTGCACATTACCGGGATCGTCGATCGATCGCCGAACCCCGGAAATAAAGTTCGATAAGCTATAGAAATGCTCGCTCGGTGAGAGGATGCGGCTGTCACGAATGATCCTCATAGAAAGCTTATCTACCAGCCTCTACTACACTTGCTTTGTAGGTTGCTAGCCCAAAACAGAGGTCCGGAGTAGGGTCAACAAAATCTAAGTCTGCTCATATATAGGGTATTGGGAAAGGACAGTATTCTATTAGAAGATACCGCATTCAGCGTCATTCTCGAGATAGGCAGGGTGCTTGGAATACAGTTTAGGTGCCGCAGGTAGGCCGGCCCACAACATCGACTCCCGGGAGCCAATCGGTTTCTCGGGTTTAGTTCAAAACCTGGGGATATGTACGTAAGCTCATTTGATCCACTAGCATTATTTCTATAAGCCATCTGCTAGAGGTATCAGACTGGCGATTGAATAGGGCATATAGAGAGGAAGTGTTGGGCTTGAAGAGAGTATAGTTATCAGGGAAAGCTTGGCGCAGGAGGAGATACATAGCTTCTAGAACGTTCTACAGACCAGATAGGCAAAGTTCTGCTTGCCACTTGACAGGGGAACTTACTTTCTCGTGACTACAGTAGAATTCGAAGTCAGTTTTAACTCCACACTCTTGCGACTTGATTCACGAACCCTAATCCGAAACACACTAGCCCGTATTTGGAATAGCGGTTGATCCTTTATTTCCAAGAATAGACAATGTAATTTACATAACGCAGCTGGACCCTGCCTTATATATCTTACTCGTAAATGATATACATTGGTAATTCTCTGTCATACCGCCGACACCGATCAGGAGGCATCTTCCCCGTTTACATATACCACAATATATAACTCTTATTTATTTGCGCTGAGTAGGAGAGATCGTTATCTCCCTCGAAATCCACGTATAGAAAGGGTTTGGGAAAGTGAATTTCAACAGTACATTTTCTTTACTAAGACGATGCAAACAGGGCTATACGGTTTGGTCCGATGGTGCGCATAAGCTAAAACCAGAGAAACTTCAACGTCCACGTGTTAATGGAAAATTAGATGCAGGCGGAGGACAAACGGAGCCTACATCTAACTCTCAGTTAACGTCATGGGCTGGAACAGGATCGAGCACTCTGACATCCACAAGTAGCTATACAATCTAGTGCGCCAAACTTTTTAAACAATTCCTACGTAGCTATACGGAAAATTTCTCGATAACATGAGAAAGGTAGCAGTAGTGTAAATGATTGACGCTTAGAGTACGGCGCTAGCTCCAAATAGTGGGCCCAACCCACATACCTTGGCCCCTAGTATGGATTTCTACTGGCAGGAATATAAATCCGGCAGAGAAAAGGTTTTGCCAAGAATACTAACGTAGACAAGTACTTCTAGCTTATATTCGGTCAATTCCACAGCATATTAGAATGTCCATCCTTCGCAGCGAGGCACAAAAATTGAGTCGGATCTCTGAACATTGCGAGATCTACTGTATTTCGCTGTGTCTTTTAGGAATGCCCCTTTTTTTTTCTTTTTTTGTGCTTTAATATTTCTTTTTTTGGCATCCCAGCCCCACAACTATAAATGATGCGGAGACCACATGATGAGTTCATTAATCAGTTTCGGGAGAAATATGGTGATCGTTTCTTGAGCCGTCAAGCTGAAAGGGAAATTAGAGGCGTCCAAACCGACATGGAAGATCCAATGCTCCCTGATAGCTGTGTCAATGGAAACGAGCCTATTGATGTTGCGCCCACAGACGAGGCAAATACCGATCAAACACTAAGGCGAGAGAGCGGTTACTCAAAGCATCGCAGCTTCCATGCACCAGATTCGTTCTCTTCGATGATTGACGTGGAAAAGTACGAGACATTTCACGATCGCAATGTATCAGGGTCGGACGCTGTCTTATACAATAACGTAGAAGACATACTCTCTCCGTTGAGTCAGTGGAGCGCAGACATTTCGCGCATTCTTGATGAGCCAGTCCAACCCAATGCGCAAGACCCTCGGAATGCGCCTTGCTTCACTTCGTTGGCTAAGTCTCAAGGTTGGCCATATGACGATACACATTTTGGGCAGGCGAATGGTATATCGACAACTCTCGTTCATCACAATTATGGATACGCTACGCTATATGATGTCTATCAAGATATTTTCACTAATCGTTGCAGTGGACAATCAAACCCAAAATCTGATTTGGCCACACCCAAGGCACAGGTCAACGAACATTGGTTATATGGCCACAGGGAAAAGTACACCTATGCTCAACGCACGCTATATTTATTGTTTGCTGAGGCTCTTCATAGGTTCCGTTACAATGCGACACTGCAAGCCCCGACGGCAATGCACCAGCCTGGCAACGAAAAGCCTGTAACCTATCTCAACAAAGGTCAACCATACAGCCTCACTGTGGCAGATTCGACCCCACCCACGAATAACGCGGGATTCTTTGAGTACAGGACATTTGTGTATGTGTCTTTTGAGGGAGAAGACCAGAGATCAAATCCGGTTGCATCGTGGCAGCTATGGAAAGAAGGCCGTGGGCTGAAAGAAGCCAATGAGCGGAAAGGCAAGCTTTTAGCTGTCGAATTTATCGAGCCTTCCCAGAGCGGCCTCCGAAATCAGGGACACTGCCAGGTACAGCTTGAAGAAGCTACTGTCAATGGCTTTTGTGTCATTTGGACAGCTGATCCAACTGCGAAGGTCTATGAGGCAGTGATTCTGCTGAAATTCAATTTTGTATCGACCGACTTCACTCGCGCAAAAGGGGTAAAAGGGGTACCAGTCAGGCTGTGTACAAAAACGGAAATGTTACAGTCGAACGACAGAAACAAGTCTGTGATGAACGAGCCGGAAAGGTGTTACTCTTTGGTTAAGGTACTTAGAGACCACGGTGCCGAACGGAAATTATGGAACGATAAGATACGTATAAGCAAAAGGGCTGAAAAGCTCAGCAAAAGAATTATGGACCGAGAGGCAAATGCGAACTTCGCCAGTCGATGTCACAACGAGAGTGCGATAAACGGCCGAAAATTCGATGTCCCGCCTCACAAGAAGCGCAAGTCGTCGATAAGTCCTCGGAAAAGCCCTTCGTCGGAAGTCCTCCGCGCTGAGCTGGCCACAACAGTCGAGGTTCTTTCATCGGCCCGTCCAGTGAGTGTACTTGCTCTTCGCGGTAACATGAAGGATAGGCTCTTAGACGATCGACATAGCACAGGTGCTATAAACTTGGTATCAGAAGGAGCGGCTCAAATTCCAAACAAGGCCAACATACAAGTGCACTCCCAGAGCCCTGTTTGTCAAGAACGTCCGCCCAAAGTCCCATATGGTTCCGTTAGGGCATCAAAGAGTTCTCCACCTCCTGCGAAGCATTCTTCGAAATCCGGTTGGTACCACAGAACATCAAATTCGTTCTACGCTCACTTCTATTTCGCAGTTGCATGCTTCTATATCCTATTCGCCCTAAGCGGAAAGCAACCCGAGGGCACCTATCATGCAATATATCTTACAGGCCGCACTTCTCGCAATTTGGAAGTCGAACTTGCGGCGAAACTGCATATCGACCCTTGCCTCATTCCTCGTATCATCTGGATCAATAGCAAAGGCTTAAAAGTCGTGGTTGATGACGATGTGGTCGGACAACTTCCCGAGGGACAGATCATGATTGCAAGTGTCCACGAACACTCGACTACAGTAATGGCTCCCTCGAGCGCAAAGCGCTCCGAGGTGGAAGTAGAGCTAGTTTTTCAGTGACTGCTTTCAATTACCAATATAGGTATCACTAGCAGAGATATTCCGCAGAACATTAAGATCGCGTGTTCCAGTATTTAAAGTCTGGGAAACAAATGGGACATTGGTGACATTAGGACATACGACACAAACAAAAGCTGTACAGAAATCAGATAACTGTACGAATTGTCGAAGGACAAATTGGAGGCCTACGGAAAGATATCATAACGCGATCTACTAATGGGATCTAGCACGCTTGAATGCGGGAGCATGGAAAATAAAAGATATGTCCGCCGAGAGACGGAACTAGAATGGATTTCGAAAATCAGTGTAGGATTATCTCTTGTTCGGTCAGTTTACAGGAAGGATTCTATCGGGTTCTACGAGCGATTACGGTACTATAACAATGAGTCATTATTGTTATAAGAGAATACAATACAGCCCTATAAGGATTACCAGGTGAAGAGCTAAAATTAGATTAGCGTGTCCCCACCCAAGTTCCGGGAATAAAGTCGTAAGAGTTTAGAGTTAAAACTGATTTCGAATTCGACTATACGACCAAGAGAACACAAAAGAACACAACCACGGGTCGGGGTTTAGCCTTCCACTCTATCGCCAAAGTCAGTGTGATATTCCAAATACTCACCTACCCCAGCAGCACCCCTTAAGCAAAAAAGCCCCGTGTCATCGGGCACTGATAGCCGAAAACTTTGGGCTTGTGGATCATGTCTAGACCTTAGCAATTCTTTCCAGTTTCTCTCCGGGCCACAAATAGAACCTCCTTGATCTACTATCCCGTGGGTCGTCGCTAAGATCTACATCGTAGAACCGTACCTACGTCTGTCTAAATTAACGTATGGTATTTAATTGGTCCGCCCGGTCTTATTTCTATCCAGGTTCTCGTCAGTGTGTGATAGTAGCGTTGCAATCTTACGAGGGGGTGGCGATCACGAAAACCTAGCTCGTGAGCCATGAAAGCTCAAATAACTCACTTTATTATCCTAGAACCTAGACTCGGGTTTCTATTCTAGGCTTTCCAACAAGGTCTCGACTTTTAATTCTCTATCAAAGGAAAACAGCCAATACTCTAGATTTAGGAGTATCTTCATAGTATCTATACCGACAGGTAGCAGAAATATTAGTAGAGGCAACATCAGTTGGTTACGAGTAACACAGAAAGTACCGTTAGCGCGAGGCTAGGCAAAGAGGATTATAGAGGGATCAATAGGAGGCACGTCTTATAGCCAACCACGGGTACACAAAGTCTCTAACCCATTATTGCGGCACCTATTAAAGCACTTCAACCCCCATAAAAAAGACGGTGACCGTGGCTAGTGACCATGGTCAAAACGGGTAGAGTAGTCAGTCTGCTACAGCGTTAAACGATTTAATTGCAAATTCAATAATATATGAGAATCATATCCTTACGGTATCACTATCTTCTCAATAGTCGAAAAAGTGGTTCACCATACTAAACGCAAGTTTTTGAAAGCAATGAATCTAGGTTAAAACTTGAGTCTATAGGCCACAAAGTCTCTAAACACCACTTTAAACGTCGTTTAAATCGCTTCAACGCTTACCAACGGGACAGTTGTTCTCGCTACCAACTACGTAACTAGTTCCTTGGTAGAGACGTAGCCGAAAAAAAATATAAAAAGGAGCCGGATTCCTAGCCTAAAAAAATCAGGACTCCGGTCCTCACACTCCGATATATTATAGTGCCCCTCTCGTGCTTACGGGCTTGAGAGCTTCTATAGCCATAGCTGTCGCTGCCACGAGCCCAGCGATGTAAGACTTACGCCCCCTCACAGCTAATAAGCCCTATGTATGTAAAAAGGTGCTTCGTAGGATAAGTCTACATGAACAATACGCCTCGTAGGGGGGCGCTACGTTGCCAAGTGAACTCCGTAGGGGGACGCTGTGATAACAAGTGAGACCCGTAGGAGACCGCTGCGTTAACAAGTTCTCTATAGGAGACCGCTATATTACCAAGTTCTCCGCAGCCTAGGCCCTACGTTAACAAAGCGCCTCGTAGGGACATCTACGACAACAAGAGTCTCCGTAGGGGCATCTGCGATAACAAGCGCCTCTAGCCCGTGTAGGCACCTCTTCGTGGTGCTAGGGACCAGTATTCGAGTGTTCTAAGAGTATTCGGAGAAGCAAAGACCTGCGTAACATCTTTATCGTCTATTCATTATTCGGAAGAGTCATTATTGGATATATAGAAGGAGTCTTAGTTAGATCTTCGCCAATTCAATAGCTAAAATCATAAAGTAAAAACTGAAGGCATCTTTATCATCGAAGGACGTATTTCCCATTCCGTTTCCTTGATAGCTTACAATCCAATAGCTTCCTCGCTATAAAGAAATTGGCATCTTCTATTCAGATGTAGGCAAATAGAGATAAGGGTTGTCTTGGAATGCTTGTAGTGTTGAACTGTTAGTGGCGATGTGAGTGTTAATATGAGTGGTGATGTGAGTGGTGATGTGTGTGGTGATGTGTGTGGTGATATGAGTGGTGATGTGAGTTGATGTGTGAGTTGATGTGTGTGTTAATGTGTGTGTTGATGTGAGTGGTGATGTGTGTGGTGATGTGTGTGGTGATGTGTGTGGTGATGTGTGTGGTGATGTGTGTGGTGATATGTGTGGTGATGTGAGTTGATATATATATTGATGTGTGTGTTGATATGTGTGTTGATGTGTGTGTTGATGTGTGTGTTGATGTGTGTGGTGATGTGTGTGGTGATATGAGTGGTGATGTGTGTTGATGTGTGAGTTGATGTGTGTGTTGATATATGTGTTGATGTGTGTGTTGATGTGTGTGTTGATGTGTGTGTTGATGTGTGTGTTGATGTGTAAGTTGATGTGAGTGGTGATGTGAGTGGTGATGAGCGTAGTGATGAGCGTGGTGGTGAATGGTCGGGCGGTGAAGGAGGTGGTCAACGTCTAGACCTTGCCATCGGTCTATGCCACCTCAGATTATGTAAGTTTCCTGAATAGGGGGTTCAACTTCAACTTCTGGAAATTATCGGTTATTTACGTCTATCACTGTCACCTACCGCTATAACTAATGGTATAGTAGGTAATCGATCCTAATAACGGTGTATCCTCTTTTATCATAAATCTAATAGTGAGACTAGTAGACAGTATAATATAAGTGGATTTATAGGTTCAACATATTTTGTGGTCATATATATATATATTTCTATTTATTTTAGATCACACTCTTAAGTCTCATTTAGAGTAGACTTAATAGTCTACCGATTTGACAAGCTTAATTCAATCTATCTCGCCCGTTATATATCCTTAGTATTATAGGACCTATACGTGGCTAAACATTATAAAGTAAATGCGTGCGTGAAGGCCTAGTTAATAAGCGGCCTATAGGCTAACTAACGCTATACCCGCTATAGGCAAGTGGAAGTAACTCGTTACGAATCTATAGGCCTTATAGGCCGTGTCGAGATCGATTAATATCCCTAGACGTAGTATAAGGGTTTACTTACCCTCTTATCTACACGATAGATAAAACAATTCGTATTAATTCTATCTCGTAAGCTATCTCTAGTGCTATTCTAATCACTCGGTGGATCCGTATATAGCCCCTACTTCGATTAAGCTAGTCGAAAGTAAACACTAGACTACTCGCCGTTAGTTTAACTATAAATAGGTAATATATACGCCTAGGATTAGACCTACTAGGTGTAGAAGTATTTAATAAGGAGCCGCTCGAAATACTATTTATTAGATTAACTAAATATCGTGAGGCGATAGACTCTTACGTAGTCGAAGTCACCGCTTTAGTTAGCGATTATAAGTCACTTAAGCCTACTCTACTATAGGATAGCTATATTCTAGAACTATCGCGAGAGTGAAAGTGGATTCGTAATAAAGAAAACTAAGTTATCGAGGGCATTCTTTAGCCTAGAATATCCGATCGGCTCCTATATTTAGGAGTCTCCGCAATATTATAAGTAATCCCCCCGTTAGTAACTATAATTTATATCGCTAGCCGTCTCCTATATATTAATACACACTACTACGCTTAAACCGCCGATCGTTACTTTCTAGGGCGTAGTACCCGGTTTATACGACTAAGTATACTCTACTACTAAGAGAACGTAGTAGGATAGCTCTAGGTGGTGTTGTTATAGACTTAAACTCACCTTTATATAGGATCTACTTAAGTAGTGATATACTAAATATCGTCTAGGGAGCGGTGAATTTAGAAAATATACACTTAATACTTAAAGGATAGTAGACGTATAGGTGTATAGAATCCGACGAGTTCCTAGTAGGAGCTACTTACGCGCGATAGGTTAGAAAACGACATTAGTAGATAGGGACACGCGGTTAGCTTAATATCCTATAGTTTTAGTGACATCTAAGGCATATACGACTTTCCGGATATTTCTTAGGGTTTAATAGAGGAATAGGTGCTTAGGATCAAATCTACTAAACACCTATTCTAAAGGAGACATTTCTAACATCGACTTAATATAGCTCCGTATATTTCTACCTAGTCCGTTTCCGCTCGTTCGTATATATCGAACACCTAAGTAATACGGAGTAGGATCGGATCTAATAGGATAGTATCGGACGGTATTTTTTTAGCTCTTTAGTTGGCTTAGCTATACCTCGGTATAAATAGCCTTATCTTCTTAGTTCGCTACTAGTATAACCGAAATAGCCTATAGATTAGAAATAAAGGGGGTTTCTTTTCCTCACCTTCCCCTTATACGCGGATTTAGACTAATAATATAGCTAATAGCGAAGGTAGGGCTCCCTAGCTATTAAGTAAGACGAAACATCCGTATTACTCAGCGCCTATCGGATAATTAGGCTTAAAAAGACGCTAGATACTATCCGAGAATAATATGGGGCCACCCGTTAGACGCCACTAGTCTAATTCACGAAGGCTATTCTTTTACGGTCTTCGAATGCCGAAAGACATACGGTGGTATAAGCTATTAGAATTTAGGTTTATCCCGTAGACATATTAGAATATGACCTAATATATAGAGCCGATTTAAGAGAGAAGGGCGAAGGTAAACGCGATCGGAACTTTATATTAGCTTATTATCGATACCACTAACGGTTATATTAGGGTGATAGAGTATAGGACCGCATCGGTATCGGGGAGCCCGAGCAGATAATACACTTGCGCGCTTCGACTCGAGTAACGGGAATATGACGGTACCCCCTATTATACGATCCGAGTTAGTAAGGCTTGAACCACTAGGACGAGTGGTTATGACTTACCAGTTCATAAAAATCGTAGAATGCTTGCTTAGAACGAGACGATCAATTAGCTTCGTAGTCATACCTTACCGACGAGATCACTTACAATTGTCTTCAGCAATACAGTCACCATTCATACCATATTGATATAGTCCGATTCGGTAATAGGACTCCGCACAAGGGTGTTTCACGGGCGGCGATAGTGCTTCTATAGGCATGAATACCAGCATAGTGTTCGTATTGTGGAGCACATTTTATTACACAAAATAACCGGATATAATGCAGCAGAAGGCGCGATAAATTACTTACCTCAAAGGGCTTCCGAAGAATGGACGTTTCGAGCTTCTACGCCTCGAGTTTCGCAATCGGATGTTCGCACCCTATTATTAGCCCGCTCCTTCGAGTAATATATTATACCTAGGGTATGCTGTGTGGTATGAAGCGATGGGACAAGGTCTGGTGCATAGGCTATAGCTTTATACAGCAGTAATAGCCTGCCGTATCCTCGGGGCCACTCTAGTGCGATGTCAAGGTTCACTATCATGCATTAACTTGTGGATCGGTATGTTAGTCCATAACTTACATATTCTATTGGCAAAGACTAGGAATGAAGAGACGACAAAGAGCTATAGTCCTTACGCTCGTGCGGTTATCCTCGGTTCTAGATCGCCTCGACTTCAGGATTAGTAGAACTTTAGACAGGCCGGGTGGGAACACGCACACAGAGGCTGTACAGTAGATCAGCTCAGTCGACTATAGCAGAGAGACATCTTCGCATAGATGTTTGAACCAGCCAGCCTAAGTCTTGTCCTTTTAGTCGGCTAGCTGCTTGCAAAGTGGATTGCCTGAGAATAATATTTTTCACTGACACTGTATGGTTTGCTGGTCCATGTTGGATTCTACTATATAAGTGTTAGTACAGTGCATGTTTCAGTACTAAGTCAAAGAGGGAGAACTTACCAGGTGCCTCCGACACAAGGCCTACTCGACTTTAGGCAGTCAAGTGATAGAATCGTAGAGAAAGCTTTTAGGGGTAAAGGACATATTTATAGACTTCACGGCTCGTCCTATCGCGTAAGTGCTCTACTTGGTAGGAAGAGCTGAGGAACACCACTCTAGTTTGAGGTTTTGAAACCTAAGTCTTCATTTAACCTCAATTATTTCCAAGGACAGCTGCCTTTGCTTTTAAATGCCCAGTAAGAGAGAGGGGGAAGAGCCCTATTGGGAAAAGGGTTGCTAAGCCGGTCAAAAACGTTGCCTGACTATTGAATCCACGGCCCCACGAAGACCATATCCGGGACGGAGAAGCTTTTATAATTGCTTACAGCATAACCTCACGAGCATCCTTTTCCCACGTACGAGCGTACTACAACCAAATCAAAAAGGTGAAACATAATATAAGTATCGAGAATACACTACAGCAGTCAGCTTCTCATCGTCTATCTCGACCGCCTATTATTCTAGGCGGTACCAAGGAAGATTTACGATCCCAACGTGAAGTCTCAGCTATAGAAGGTCGAATTCTAGCACGGTCGCTAGATTGCTGGTTCTATGAAACGTCTGCTAAATATAACGCAGGCGTGGAGAAGACATTCAAGGATACTATCAGATGCTTTCGACAATTAAATTCTCCGAGCCTTCTTACCCAAGCATGGGAGGGTTCAAACGAAAGTACAGGGAGATTTTGGGGCACAGAGCGACAGAAGGAGCACAACTCCCGTTCGTACATTGTATTGTAGATACTTCAACAATTAATTTCTATGGTGTTCTCCATACAAGGGTTATTCAAATCTCGCGCATCTATAAAAATTCTAAAGCGGCTGCGTCTCGTTGCAGGCGATCATATCATATCCTACTATTGGTTTCCCCTTTCGAGTAGGACTCTTTAGGACATGGCCAGATATTGCAACGAAAATTATTGCTCCCTAAAAACTTAATGATATACCGGACTCTATGCCAAGAATTTTATTGCGTCAAGAGAACGTTATACCATTATAACTAAAAAGGCGATAATTTTGATACCATAAGGGAGAAGCTAAAAATACAACAGAAGAGCGGTGAGGATAATCCGTGGTCGCAAAACCTAGGGGAAATGGAAATAACGAGAGGAAGTGGAGCTTTTGCTTGAATCTTCTTCCTGGAGCAAGAGAATCTACTTATCTAGACAACCCCCCCCCCTCGCCGGCCGCGGGATATAACGTGTTCTGATGTACGGAGATGGGTCTCCAGATACCAGGAAGAGACTTTAACCTCCTCGAAAGGATTGGGGATTGGTGTGTAGCTCTTGCTTTAGTCCCAGATGCTGATATATTCCCTGTCGGTGATAGGGATCCTTGCTGTTACCCCTAGGTGCTGCTCTCGATCGTAGTGGCCGGCAGGAACGTAGCTGGAATGTGAGTTCGTCGTGCCACAAAGCGCTTATTCGAAAATCCATCCCTAATTTCTCCGCAAGGAACCTCGTCAATGTGCCAGTGGGACATCCTTCTCAACATCTCCGACCGTCGAGGCGTCCAAGTCCTTATAGAGCCCTGAGATCTGGCGTTCAACGTCGGATTTGGTGGACTGCTTCAAGCGCAACACAGCCAAATTCTCCAGCAGTCGCTTCTTGATCCGCTCCAATCCGCAGGAAACACAATGAATATATTCAAGGAGCATTGACAAGGAGCTTGAATTGAGTTTCACTAGAAACGTGACTTTCAATGCACCACTAGATATGTTAGTGTGACCTTTTTTGTGTACATGTATTGAGTGCCCCGTAGCCTAGAGAGTGCCCGCTGCCAGCAAGTATCCACCGTCCACGACAATGGTTTGTCCATTGAGATATTGGTTCGAGACAGTAAACAACACAGTGCTTGCCATGTCCTCATCCTTCCCTGGGCGCCCGGCGGGGACTTTGCCCTCGAACTTTCCTTTGGGGAGAGTGCTCTTTTGCTTCTCGTCACTGCCCTCGGCCGTCATTTCAGACGGGAAGACCCCGGGCGCGATATTGTTCACACGAATCTTGAGTTGCGAGGAAACAATCTCGTGGGCCAGCATCTTAGTGAGATGAACCGCAGCCGCCTTACTGGCGTTGTAGGCGAAGTGATGCTGGGCGGATTTGACAAGGCCGGAAATCGACGAGATGTTGACCACAGTACTAGACCAGGCGTGCTCCTCCTCGGTTCCTTTGTTCAGCAAGGGCAGGAAAGCAGTTGTCGTGAAGAAAAGCTGCGTGACATTGGTGCGCATAACTTCCTCCCATTCCTGGACCGTGCTCTGGTTGTTGAAAAGCTCCTGCTGCAATGCTTTCGGGTCCGTCGGATCAGTGTTCTGTGTTGGAGAGCTAATACCGGCATTGTTGATCAGGATATGAAGTTTCGACTCTTTGGCGGAAATTTCGTCGACTAGTTTCTGAATGGACGCCTTTGAGGTGACGTCTGCAGCGATCGAGATAATCTGGCCTGGGATATCCTTGGAGTATAACTCTGCGACACGGTCCAGTTTCTCCTTTGTGCGACCGGTGATGTATACTTTAGCACCGTTGACGGCGAGGGCTTGAGTGGCCATCAAACCGATGCCCGACCCTCCTCCTGTGACAAGAGCGACTACCCACTTTTGTTAGCAATGCCAGAGCTAGGGAAAAGTATTAATAACTCACCTCTGTTCTTCAGATTGAAGAGAGCTTCGAGCTTGAAGTTCGGGTTGCTTTCTTGAGCAGACATGTTCATGGTATGTATTCGAAAGTTCTGTAGATAGATTCGAGAAGGATAGGGGTCAGAAGGGGAGAGGGGGAAGAAGGATTAATTGTCTTTCTGCAAGAGGCTAGGTAATATACTAGCTAGCAAGCAAGCGAATCCTGACAAACAAGGTATCGGATGGATGGGTTGTCACAAACAATACTACGTCTCTATATGTCAGTTATGTGCTCTTATATGCGTGCTGGGGTAGAACATTACGATTATTGCTCTTCAATCAAGTTTGCTCAAGTTACGTCATATTTGGTGTCTTGATTACGGGTTAGTAGATGAAGCTTGGTTGAAATGAGCATAACGATTGGAGCTGATAACTTTGTAATCTAAGTCATAATGACCTTGACGTGTCGTAAATCCCTTAGGAAATGCGAGAAGCAGGCTTTCACGTTGCTCAGTCCAAAGTTCTACTAACCTGTTGGAGCCTAAATTATATCGTAATGGCTGAGGCAATTTCAACTAAAACTTGAGCTCATAATCCAAGGTTTCGATTCAGCAACCGGTTGGGATAAATGATTGTTGGAAGGATCACGGCTAGTAAATAAGCTACTAATTTAGCTACTAATTTTCGTGGGGACACAAGAAGCAAAAGCTCTAAAAGACTTGTGTCTTTTTCAGGACCGAGATTAAAAATAGTATAGGCGAGGAATAAGATGAGGGGAGAAATAAAGATAAAGCTAGTTAAATCTATATAAGGAGAACGCACGTATAGGAGTATCTATTGCAATGACAAACAACGTTTCAAGGCCTTCCGTATACTGAAGCCTTCACCATGCCGTATGTCCCCCGTCAGCTACTATTGTACTCCCAGTCATGAAGCTGCTTGCATTGCTCATGAGCAGCAAGGTGATACCACGAAATTCTTCCGGTCGCGCCAACCGTCCCAACATATTCTCAGACTCCCATGTCTCCTTTGTCCCCGGGGTCTTGTCCATAACCATCTTGGCCATCGGCGTCATTATGTGTCCGGGACAAAGGCAGTTCACTCGTATTCCACCTCTGCCTTTCCCATCGATATTGCTCCATTCCATGGCAAAGCTTCTAGTGAGTTGGATCACAGCGGCTTTCGATGAGTTATAGATAGACGATTTCATTCCTTTGTTCGCAACCATCCCGCTCATACTGGAAACCAGTAGTATTGATCCTCGGCATTGCTTGTTCAGCATTTGTGCAGCAGCGGCAGTTGCAGATGTGAAAGCACCAGTATAATTAATACTGATTATCCGTTCAATATCGGCGGCGGAGTGATTAATCGCACTCTCTACATGGTTTACCCCAGCCGCCGCTACTAAACCATCCAGCCGGTTCTTACCGTCGGCGATCGCGGACAATGTCTGGTTTGTGCTGTATCTGTCACGGACATCTAACGTGTGGTAATGCAAAGATCCCCCAAATTGGGGATTGGCCCGCGCTTGTGCAGTATAGAATTCTTCATGCGGCTCAGGTAGCCGATCTAGGCAATGGACTATATCCGCCGTTCACCCATGGTTAGTTATGTAGATCAACAGTACACACTAGGATATATCTTACCTTCTCCCCCTGCTTCCACTAGTGCTTCCGCCATTGTTAGACCTAGCCCACGCCCTCCACCAGTCACCGCGAAAACTTTCCCACGAAGTTGAAAGGCCTGAAATCGTTGATCTGTCTTTTGAGTTGGATCCTCCGGCAATGTTCGCTTGATACCGGCGTCGGTAGCTAGTCGTCTACCCGTCTGCGCAGTCGGCCGAAAAGTCGGCTGCTGAAATACCCAAAGGCGCAGAAGTTTGGTTGTTCCTTGGATGAGAGTCATTGTGTTTTGTTGGCGTTGCCACAGTCGGAGGAAACCAGTATAACACAAAAATACGCATATGGCTTTTTAATAGTCTTTGTTGGTGGCCGAATCGAAGTACCAGGTATAAAGGATGTTTATGTATAGCAAGCTCTTTTCCTGGTTGAAGTAGGTACATATGTCATCATTCCACCTACACGACAGTTGCAATATGTTAGATACCTTGCAGGTTGCCACAGGCACTATACAAAAAAGCATCTACGTCACTATCCAGGTTCTTGGGCGAACAAACGTATCCAAGGGTGTGCTGATCATACCCGGATCCTTGATCAGATCCTTGATCTACCAATCATACATAGGCGTTTGATTCAATTGTACAATAGTATGAAGTCTTCCCGCCTTGTATCGAGTGGGGGTACATTGACGTATCATAGAAGAATAGATTGTGGCTGTTATGGAGCTTGGAGAGCTCCTTGCTGTAATTCTAAGATTACGTGAATGTCCACAGGGGAAAGAGACTAATCTTAATAGCTGCTCTGCCAGTATGCTAGAATTGCAGTTAGCTTGAAGACGCTGCTCACGATCCACAGTCAATGAATTATATTGACCAGTATCGACGATATCGCTAATGATTGAGAGGACTTTTCAAGTCCTTTCAAAAGGAAATTTACTATCTAATCACCCCGATCATAAAGACGCATCTGATCGTTTTCTAACTAACGATGAACTCAACCCTCATCATGGCTTTTTAGCCAATACTTCTCTATTGGGAGGAGTCTCCATAGATTACCTTGCGACCAAGCTCTATTGCTTGCGTTCACTTGGGGAGAGAGACAAAGGTAGATAAATGGGCCCGTTATAGTGGAGATCAGAATCATTCCAGGGCTTTTTCTTTTTCATGTCTATGTATATGGGGGGTTTCTTTTCACAGATCTTTTGCTACGTAATTATGTCATCATCCGCATAGGTTAGGGCTAGATATGGCACAGAGGAGCATGGAAAGAGGTAAATATCATTTGTTAAAAGCAGGATGTTGTAAGGATCTTGGTGCGTCATAATCATGTCTCGTCCAATGACTTTATAGCGTTTCCAACGTCAATGTGTCGTGTGACTCCTGTTGCGGCAGGGTGCCAAGCCCAGGTTCTAGCTGCCCACGAGAAATCCAATAGCCAATCCTTGATATGGTTCAAGAAGAACAGGATTTCGGTCTCATAATTCGCTGCTCGCTTGGTAACGATGATTTATGTGCTGAATCTTGTCTCAAACTCCGGGATGTTGTAAAAGAAAGTTATTGCATTGCACCTAAATGTCATTATACATTTTCTTCAATATCCTTGGAGCATGGCACTCGCCATTCCTCAAGAAATCTCCACCGCGCTTGAATTATTAGATAATGTAGGAGCCACGGTCAATACTGTTGCAATCAACCACGGAGCCAATAGAATCGATGGGAGTTGCCGGAAATATCTTTGCGATTACGCTGACCGCGTTGCGTCCGATGGCCGACTGGAAGTGACATGCAATAATGAGTGAACATTTGACATGCCTTCTGAAGGATAGATACTTAATACCCTGGGCATTCGGAAGTTGAGAGCCTCAGCAATTTGACTTGTTCACTACCCTCAGTCAGTTAAGAGGACGTGCGGGGCAGGTGGCACGGTTTATTTAGTTGACCGAGGCCCACCTAAACACCCGATTAATCACCGTGCACCTGTGGAAAATCATAGTTATCGTTTTTTTGATGCCAACTCTTTATTGACCATCCCTGGACACTCCTGTCAATCTCTCATAATATCGATAAATGTTTCAGCCCTCAGAATGAACATCCTAGCCTTGGCGTTCGCAGAGCCCCGAAATCGCCATGCTGCGATTCAACGACCGCCTCACTGCCTCTTGTTGTGATATGAGGCTGGTGCAGATCAGGAACCAAGCCGCTCCGTCGGAATTAGCTCCGAAGTGTCTATACAGACGACCAAATTGATTTCCGATCAACTTGGCTCATTGTTGTATACATAGGCTCATGTATCCCTCTGAAATAACAAGACAATTCATACCTCTGAGCTACAACAGGATCAGTAGCGAGGCAGGGAGGCGGTGTCGGTATGCCAGAGGCTTCATGCCAGATAGCGTGAAGGTCGGGATCCCAATCGTAGTCTACTAATTTTAGCTCAAATAATTATGAAAGCAACGGGTACAGACCATTGTTGTGTATGAAATCGACCATTCAAACGAAGGGGTTCTGTCAAATGAGCAAGGTTTATTATTCAAAATTCCAACAGTGCAGAGCACTTTGGGCATTATCTCCCCCATCAATGAGCTTCAGCATCCGGAGGTAATACGCCCGGAAAATCCATCCTTCCCTCCGAATGGTTGTTCTCTTGACGAACGCTGTCGCTTCTCAAAGCACCCGGAGCTATCTATACCTCAACCGGCATGCCATCCAATGGATTTAGTCCAGCCGTCCTTTGCCCAACCTCCAAATATGTTTCATGAAATTGCCATCAGGAAAAGAACAAATCCGATACCGCCTCAACCAAAGCAGTTGTGTCGGCCGGAAACACGAACACCAAGCTCACTTGATTTTAGTCTGTCTTTTAAGGTGGTAAGGAACTATTACCCTGAATGGCCCCTTCAACAGCCAGCAGGTCCCTCTCCAAAACTGGCTGGTAGCTCGGATTTATAGATGCTAATCGTGAGCAGATCGAGACAGTCAGCGCACAGACCTTGGATTTAGTGCGGTATCATTCCGCAATGAGTCAGCCAGACAACCACCAAAGATCCCTCCCTGGACTAACCATCACCGAGATAAATGGCCTCCTCGGTCAGGAGCAGCAAACCAGGATGCCTTGATTCATATCAGAGATGAACTTGTGCGCTTCAATCAAAACCATGCCTTAGCGCAGCAGAATACTCGGGCAGCCGCATGTATGGCGAATGAGGCTGACCAAGGTCTTTGTTCGTCAGTCGCCAAACAGAGCAAGGCCCACCAAGTCTCTAAAAAAAAGAGAATGGCACGAGGTAAGTCAGATTAAGCCTTTCTTGGACTTAACAGTTAGCGTTTCATTAACTCAACTGAAGGATAGTGCTCTTCGTTGTCATAGCTGCAACCGCTCTGAAACACCAGAATGGCGTCGTGGTCCGGACGGCTCCCGAACTCTTTGTAACGCCTGTGGTTTACATTATGCAAAATTGTCTCGGCGAACGGGTAAATTTGTGGCATCGGACGATATCGGCGCCAGGGGCAAAACATAGTCGGATAGGTTAATTTGGTTAGTTTCTCAACGGAACGTGAACGACAACTTCCTGTTAGACTCTTCGTGCTATCCAATAGCTTGGAAACTCGACTCTATGCAGATAGAAGGGGCACTCAGGCATGATGCTGAGTAATACTTGTCAAGCGAGGCAATGTAAGGAAAGATCAGTAACGTAGTATTACGCTGAAGCAAGGCAAACCTGAGTTAAAGGATGGCTAGGCAGGGCTATATCCGTCTCAGAAGAAGGCACTAGTGAGAAATGGGACAAACCCCAGGAGTTCGATGGATTTGGCCAATGTTCTCAGCTTGACCGTAAGTTTTGATAATATCTAGCAATACTATACATACTAACACTGCCTAGAATGAAGGGAACTGTCACCTGGTTTTGCGTGTCTTGTCATGATGTTGGTCCCCATCGCATGAAGATCAAATTCATAGGACACGAGCCTGGATCCTATTTCGTTTGTTTTTGGTCGTATTTACTCCCTGCTAAACGGCGCATCAACATCAATACACTATGCACAAATTGCTTAGGGGGAACCAACCTTCTGTCATCGAAGGAACAACGAGAGTTCATCTACAAGAAGAAGGATCAAATCATGTTTGAAAGACGTGTTACTTGGGCAAAGCAGGAGTGGGACCTTTTGGGTTATTTCTCGCGAACGCCAACGCATCAACGAATCTTTGCAACAGAATGAGGGGTTGTATGTTCATCTATTTGAGGGCGTTGGTATATATTAGTCTCATTGCGAGTTCAAATGTTTGGTTTTGGGAGGAGTGGGGAACACTATTATTAGTCTAGGTTTTGTATACTTGGAAAGAATTCCATATTCCTGACTTGTCTCTGAAGACGTACCACCAAGCAACTTGAATTCTTAGAGCGTTATTATTTACCACTGTACTGGAACACTGCTAAGGATGGGGGTCGGGGGCAGAGTACCCATGGTAGGGTATTTCCGGCATAGAGTTGGGACGCTCTGTTCTGAGTGGCCTGCGCTCTTCAGCAGGCCCTACTGTGACTAATTTCCTCTTAAGAGAAGCCTCTTAGTTTCTGCCTTTCAAGTGATCCTCAATATTGAAATGAGCTAGCTGAAAATAATATGTTGTCGACGCCCTTTCATCTTACCACTTCTTCCAGGTTCCAGGATACGCTACATAACCCTATCATAGACATGAAAGCAGTCTCTTACCCCAGTATATAGCGACTTCAAATCTCAGATCAGCTAGCCCCGAATTGCTCTAACAGTCAAAATATGCCTGTCCCCAACCACAAGACCCCACCAGAGCGAAATCAGTTACATATGGTTTCCGACCCTTCGTTGTGTTCGACAGCCAGCAACCATGTAATTTCATCGAACACAGTATTTGGTGCTATATTTAGGCTCAATATAGAAACAAAGCAGCTGCTCATGTCGGCAATATGAGCAATTAGGGATGAGTCTGTCGCATTGTGCATTGCTCTCTCAGCAACAATTGCAAGATATAGTGCTCATACATGGAGCGACGGTATCTAACACGTCATCTGAAGATTGAAAACTCTGTGGCAAGTTTGCTTTGGTCGATTGCCCGTGTCTCACTGTCAGATTGAATGTTTTTTGCACTGCGAAACCATTCCATGACAGAAATAAAGACAGTTGTTGAGAGCCTGCGAGGGATGATTAGCGCTGAAACCGAGCTTTGCCTAGAAGGCTAATCACGATGTGAACGTGCATTTTTTTCCCAATCAAAAATAGGTGTAAAGTTTATTTATTGCACGGCCGAGTGTGATCGGTACATTGCAATACGCGATTGAACTATATCTCCTATGGAAGGTGGTTGGGGTGCGTGGAGTATTTAATTCAGCGTAGCGTTAACAGATTCCGAGGTGCTTTAGAGTATTGAATATCATATGCCTTAAAACTTGCTCCGAGGAAACAAATCTGGTATTTATTTACCGAAAGCGGCATCGTGCCGGTGACGGACTTCCGGCAACGATAGGGCTATGGGAGGAAACAATTAGTTAGAAAAGTCGGCCATCTACTCAACTATGCAAACCGATTATAAAATCGAGCACCCCCGCTTGAAATTTTTTGAAAGATACAGCGATTGAGCTCTCTCATTGGCGCCTTGTTCTATTGTAAGACGTCATGGTTGACGTCAGGCGATACCGCCAACCCCGCAGGGACTCGGAAGATCACCAGGCCTGATATAATAAACAACAGTATCATATACCCCACGCCTACTGTACTTCTATAATACTTATTATGCTTAAGTAATAAGGGAACATCACTTTTATTTTACCAGGTCTGCCGTGGCCACTGTTTCTAAGCCTATTCTTACCCCGGCGAATATTTTCATTGGGCATGTCCAGTCCCGCAGACATCTCGCCCATCCCAGGAGTGTCCCTGGCCCAGTTCACACGTAAGGATATCATGGGAGCGGCATTTGAAACAACTGAGAGGCAAGCCCTATTTGCGGACCAGCCGAGTATCTGCTAATTGTAACTAGATACACCCAGTTGGAACTGGTTGGGATGGGCATATCTGGCCTCGTCTGGTATGATACACGCAGGTCTGCTCCGTTCCAAATTGCTGATGATTCACTTCATTTTAGTTCTGCGAAAGATAGACTTGCGAATCAAGCAGTCGCGATTAAGAAGCTGTGCGACCCTTTCAAGACAGAAAACATTGCGAAGCATATGTTTCGCGAGGTTAGGTTACTTAAACAACTTCGACATGGGAATGTTTGTCTCTCATCCTGTTACTTGACTTCATAACCTGATAGCACGGCAGATCATTCATTTGAACGACGTCTTTATCTCACCGTCTGAAAACATGTACCGTTTCTCTCCCCCTTCATTAACACCAGGTATAATTAACTGATCAAAGCTATCTCGTGACGGATCTCATGACGACGGATCTTCACACTCTTTTGAAGGCGAAGAAGCTCGACGATCGATTTACTCAGTATTTTCTCTACCAGATAATGGTACAAGCTCCATAACATTTTGCCATGTTTCAAATACTGAAAACAGTTTTAGCGTGGACTCAAATACATACATTCAGCGGGCGTCGTGCACCGCGACCTGAAACCGAGCAACATCCTGATAAACGAGAACTGCGACCTGAAAATCTGCGATTTCGGCTTGGCGCGTGTCAAAGAAGCCCAGATGACCGGCTATGTCACATCCAGATACTACAGAGCTCCAGAGATTATGCTCACCTGGAAACGGTATAGCGAAAAGGTCGATATCTGGAGCGCGGGCTGTATTTTTGCCGAGATGATCCTCGCTCGACCTCTGTTCCCCGGAAAGGATCATATTGATCAGTTCTGTGTGATTACGCAACTTGTAGGAAGCCCGCCTGAAGAAATGGTTGCGAATGTGGCAAATCAAAATGTGGGCGACCACGCTCCCAAGTTTGTTACATGTCTGATACTGATCCATACTAGACATTGAGCTTTATCCGCTCCCTGCCAAAGCAGACGAGGAAGCCGCTCACAACGAGCATCCCAAGCGCCGACGGGAAGGGTACGCCACTTTAATGCAGAAATTTATACGCTCCGATACTGACGTGCGCCAAGCTATTCCTTTATTAGAGAAGATGCTCCAGATTGACCCGGAGACGCGCTGCTCTGCAGAAGAGGCTCTCAAGGAGCAGTACCTTGCACCATACCATGACCCCTCCGATGAACCCGTAGCAAAAGAGGGATTCGACTGGGGCTTCCTCGACGCAGATCTCCCAGCTGACGTTTGGAAGACGGTCATGTATTTAGAGGTTCTGGGATATCACGAGTCAGTGGTCAACAGTGATGACATCTTATCATGATGTCGTTTAGCCTTCCAAAATAAAGTACTATTACTTTGACATGATGTTCATTGCCTCCGCAGGTTCACATACAGTCGGAGATGAAGACATTTCGGGTCCAATCTCACATTATCTTCTTCATGCTCCGTTGATGAGCAGACACCTTGGTTTGTGTTTCCGCTACAACTTGCTTCCAATGTGCACGGCTGTACAATCCTTCGGGAATCCGGCGTCACCATCTACACCCTTTGATTGATCCTCGAAACCTACCGTCAAAGGATAATAACATGTCTTTAGGCAGCGTATAAAAGCACCACCGTTTCAAGGACATGAGTATCGTAAGATTGAAATGTATTCCGTAAACCTAAAAAAAGAAAGGCTATCGTATGATGCATCTTTGACTATTGTGCTGCTGAATGATATACAATTTGTTTTCAATTTCAATGCGACAATTTGGTCTTAACCTTCGTGAGAGATATGATCGTCCTGTTCCTCCTTGTTTGTCGGTTCGTCTTTATTGTCTGTTTGGTGAAGGAGAGGACTCTTTTCAACACTAGCACTTCTTCTATACCTATCTTCGTTGGCATGTCCGTTAGGGTTACTAGAGGCTGGGATAGAGGCATAAGGGTGCGAAATGCTTTCCCGATGAGGATGGGCTCTGCCCGTTTGAATAGCGCCGTTGTTAGTCTCGCGATTAGCCGCAGAAATAGCGAAATCGCTAGAGTCAAAGTATGTCCGTTCCTGCCGGTTGTTAGTTAGCGCGCGCCATAAGAATTTAAACTATATTCTAAGTACCTTGGACTTTCGAGCCAGTAGGCCTCCACGCGGTAGCTTTCCGTACTTTGAGAGGAGACGGTTCTCGGATTTAGAGATGGGCTAAGAGGTTTATTAGCGTCGTTTGTTCAAGGAAGGGCGGGGCCTACTTCAGGATCTGGTCCTCCTGACTGTATTCTGAGCTATTTTCAGATGATTTTCCAAGCCTGCGATGGGGTCTGGTTGTGAATAGGGATACTCAAGATTCTCGAACTTCATGTTCATGACGTTATTTGTCCGGTCGCGTGAACCTATGATTAGTCAGCTAGACGGGAGTGGGGAAGTCGTCATTGCGAGACAAGAATTCCGGAGCTACTCTCAATACAATGAATAAATCCTGGAATTAGGGATCGAGAAATAATCAAAGATATGGTGTAGTGGTATATAAATCCAGCCTGCAGGAAGACCCTCCTGCGGCACTCTTTTGACGTCCGAATCAGATATAATCATGTTATACTATCTTCAACCTCCGGAAGATCCATATCGACTCGATATACGGGAATTTCTTGTGTTAACTCATTTAGGCTCGTATATAACCATTCTTTGGCAGAAATAAGTTCACCTTGTTCGTTCTTATTCAAACGTCGCTTTTTGGTCGTCCTTGTTTCCTGGTCGGTCGACCCGTGAAACACCGTTTTAGACAGATCCGCTCCTATATATTCGGCATGTAATATTGGGACCTGTGAATTACTGTATCCGGTTAGTTTTGCTTTTTTGGGTTTAGCGCCCTAATACGCGGTCACGTAACCTCCCCTTAGTGCTCTCCGACTTAAAAGACCCGTCTTCGCTGCTCTTTTCCTCTCTCTCACTTTTCCATTTTTCTGCCTCTCTATCTTGCACTCATCGCCTCCCCTTTCTTTTACTCTGGCCCCCACCCACTACTACACATTTGCTTTCAGCCCGACGCACTGCCCCTTTCATTTTTACCGGAGATGCCGCTTGATCCGATATCTAGCTTGTAATGCCTGTCACCCCGAAGCGTAACCACTGGGATGATACAGCATCGTGTCCTTTCGTGTCGATGGTCCTACTCCTTCCCTAGGGCAGTGAATGAGCACCATGCTACGAAGATAACTAGGCCTCCCTCTACCAATGCGCCTTTCCGTCTCTGATTCCGCGGGCCTCCCTTTAATTCTACAAAGTGCAGTATTCCCACGACGCTGCATATCCCTCTCCCGCCGCCCCACCTAAGGTTACATTGCACAGCCCCAGCTTCATAGAATGGCTCCCGGTTGCCTGGCTAAACACCTAGTTGTCGTCATCGTCGGCCTCTCCGGTCCCTCTCCACCTAGTCGGTGAAAACTCGAAATCACAGCTCGGTCATATTGGCCAATAGCGAAAATGCCGCACATGCCCTGGACCTTGTGTCGATGCTACATCTTGTGGTAAATGCGAGACTGCAACCGAGGGGATTTTTGCCAGGAAACTATAACTTGTGGGCTGTGAAACTGGCATGGTCTAGCGTCCTCGACTACAATGGGTTAGATTACCATATATTCATTGTCTTTCCGTGGACTTTCTAGGTCCAATGAAAGCCACTGCAGAGACCCGCTCCCAGGTGACCCTCACATTTGAATGAGCTAGCTGAAACTAATCTGTTGTCAACGTCCTTTCATGTTACCACTTCCAGGAGACTCTACATAGCTCTATCATAGACACGGAAGCAGTCTCTCATCCCAGGACCACTCCTATTAGATTCCTCTCGGGGTCTCATACATCTTATTTATAGTACGCTCTTGTTTGTTTTGTTGGGTTGGGTTAACCTGTCATTGGACGGTTAGTAGTTAGATGCATAAAAAGAGAAACCCGAGAAGTGAAAGCTCTTGCAGTGAAGGCTCCCGCAGGAGTAAGGGATTGCGATCCTGGGCATCCGGCTTGAAATTATCTTTCTTTCTATTCTTATTTCGGCCATGTAGGATAAAGAGATAGTAATAAATAGCATCGAACTCTTTTTGAATTAAAGTTGCATTGTGTAATAATACTATAGCCTTAGAGAGAAATAATACAAACCCATCCGCTCTGGTCGAGAAATTTCACCCGGTCTTATATTTATCTCGAAATAACTCCCATTCTTCTGGCGCTTGCAGACTTTCGTCGAGTTTGTTGGAAGCACTTGAGCCAGCCCCACAGTTGCTATCTTGTTTGACGTGTTTGCTTTCACCGTTGATCATGTGACAAATTCACCCTTGAACGCTTTTCAGGTGGCCGTTGAAAACCCTCCTTATAGCTCTCTAAAATGTTGGCGCACTTCTGGAAATGTTGCTCGGCTTTACATGAATTACTAAAGTACTACCTATATGGTTTTTTTGGCCTCTTTGGTCGCGTATTACCCTCTCCCATCAGAAATTATCTGTTCGCACGTGGAAAGAGTGACGATATTGAGAGGTGCGGACACCCCTTAACGAAAAATGATTCTCCCGCCGTCGTAAAGAACCACGTTTTAGGATCAATTGAGGAATATCAAGCTGTCTTGCCAGGCGAAATAGCAGACCCGGTCCTCTATAAACCTCAGCTCGGTGAAACCTTAAGCCAAGGGTCGACTTCATTGATAGTGAGACTAAAACCGGGTATCGTTGTTAAATGCCCTAGGTATTCGTAGTGGTATTCCGGGGCCGCGGACGTATCCTCATTTGTTAAGGACATTAAGCGCAGTTTCGAGGTTGAAGAGCGACTTTTCGATATATTAGGGACGCACCCTAGAATAATATAGTATGTCAGCTAAACGCCAGGCGGTCCAATTATTAATATTCTTTCTACTATAGCTATATTGGTATCTCTAAGGAACCTCGTAGATAATATACCTAGTAGGGTTTAATTAAATCGGTAGTCGAAAATAGTATAATCTATAGAGGGAAGTATCCGATCTACTTTCGATCTATACCCGAGTTATAAGGAAATTTAAGTTTAATATAGACTATAGAACTATAAGCGGGACTACCGATTAGTAGCGGAACTATAAATTATTTTAAGAGCTTATTTAGATAAACTATAAAAATACTTATATAGTAAGAGAATATAGCTATAATTAAGAATTTAAGCCTAGGTTTCTACCTACTTTCTTTCTAGGCTATTTATAATTAAGCCTTATAATCTAAAGGAAAAGAGAACTAGAGTAGAATCACTATAATCTTTATTAGCTAGTATATAGGATAAATTTATTTCGGTAAGGCCTAATATTTTATTAGAGATTTTTATTAAATTTAGTATTATAATTAAGATATATAGATTAATTAAAATAAAGTTTAGGGCTATAGGAGGGCCGGTCTATATCGAAATCTTATCTAGGGCTAATCGGTTTTAGTAAAATAGAGGTATTTTATTTAAGCTTATATAGTTTATCTATAATTAGTATAGATTCTTTATAAGCTATCTACTAGAGTTATTAAAATAGCGGTAGATTTAAAGAGATAGAGAGGAAGTGTTATTATAGCCTAAAGAGAGTAATAATTATAGGGAAAAAGGCTTATTATAGGAGAAGATATATAGCTTCTAGAACGTTTTATAGACTAGATAGGTAAAGTTCTACTTACCACTTAATAGAGGAATTTACTTTCCCTTTACTATAACTAAGTAAATATAACTATAGATTAGGTTATAGCCTACTATTCTATCGCTAAAGTCTATATATTATTCTAAATACTTACCTATCTTAGTAATACCTTCTAGATAATAATCCCTTATTCTATCGGATACTAATAGCTAAAAACTTTAGGCTTATAGATCGTGTTTAGACCTTTATAATTCTTTCTAATTTCTCTCCGGGCTATAAATAGAACCTCCCTAATCTACTATCCCCTAGGTTATCGCTAAGATCTATATTATAGAACCCTATCTATATCTATCTAAATTTATATATAGTATTTAATTAGCCGGTATTAGGTGCTTTTCGTCTCTAAGGTCTTATTAGTCTAATAATAGCGTTATAATCTTATAAAGGGGTAGCGATTATAAGAACCTAGCTTATAGGCCTTAGTTATATTAGTTTATATAATTATCCTAGAAACTAGACCTAGTTTCTTATCTAAGCTTTTTAAAGCTCTAGGCCCTTTTTAGCTATTATACTAAAGAAAGATAATCTTTATCCTAAGATTAAGAGTATACTAGTGCCTATATGCCGAGGGAGTAAAGATTTTAGTAAAGATATTATAAGTTAGCTATAAGTAGAAAGGAAAGAAATAATATTTAGCGGCGTAAGTCTAGAGATAGTAATATTAATTCTAGTAAGACTAAAAGGTCCTCCGGCTAACTATAGGTATAGTATAGCGCTTCTATCGGCTATCTATAGCCTATTATTTTAGTATCTATTAAAGCACTTTAACCCTTACGAAAGAAACGGTAACTATATTTAAAATAGGGAGGCGTAGAATATAAGTACGTTAAGCGATTTAATTATAAATTCGATAATATATACGAATCTTACTTTCGCGGTATTACTTTCTTCTTAATAGTCGATAAAAGTGGTTTACTATACTTAACGTATAATTTTTAGAGGAATTATTCTAGGTCGAGGCTTAACTCTATAGGCTATAAAGTCTCTAAACACTACTTTAACGTTATTTAAATCGCTTTAACACTTATTAATAAAAGTGGTTCTCGCTACTATCTATATAAGCGGTTCTATTATAGAGACGTAGCCGGAGAAATATAAAAGGAGCTAGATTCCTAGTCTAAAAAAAATCAGGACTTCGGTCCTTATACTCCGATATATTATAGTGTCCCTCTCTTACCTACGGGCTTAAGCGTCTCTATAACTACGGCTATCGCTACTATAAGCCTAGTGATATAAGACTTACGCTCCCTCGCTACTATAAGCCCCGCGAGTATAAAAAGGTGCTTCGTAGGATAGGTCTACGTTATTAATATGCCTCGTAGGGGGGTACTACGTTACTAAGTGAACTCCGTAGGGGGATACTATAATAATAATTAAGACCTATAGGAGACCGCTACGTTAATAAGTTCTCTATAGGAGACCGCTATATTACTAAGTTCTCTGTAGCCTAGGCCCTGCGTTAATAAAGCGCCTCGTAGGGGCATCTGCGATAATAAGAGCCTCTAGCCCGTGTAGGCACCTCTTCGTGGTGCTAGGGACTAGTATTCGAGTGTTCTAAGAGTATTCGGAGAAGCAAAGACCTACGTAACATCTTTATCGTGTGTTTATTGTTCCGAAGGGTTATTATTAGATATATAGAAGGGGCCCTAGTTAGATCTTTACTAATTTAATAGCT